CTTTTGGAATGAAACCGTTAAGCGTCATAAAGTAGCTCACATTTGGATACGTCCTTCCCGCTTTCGCGATCTTTGGAAGTTAATCCATGTTGCCCGTATTCTTTCTTGTGGAACATCCGTGTTCAATACTTGACACCTCTTGACGCCCCAATTCCAATGGTTGATATCCCATATTTTCATTTGATCAACCCCTGTCTTGATTCTCAAACACTCATGTTACCTGGATGAATCCTCCCTTCAGCTTCAGCCCATGTCATTTGCCCAGCATCCCAATTGTGGCTGTAAAAAATACTGTACTTTTGGCTACTTCGATTGGATCCCAGTTGGTAAGTGCTTCTAGTCCGTCTAAGGCTGTGGACTGAGGATAGGCCTCGGGGGCTAAAAGCGAACCCACACGTTCACATCTACAAGTTGAGAAAAGCACCGTCAAAACATCCCAACACATTTTTTTTTTCCACTGTGTTAAAAAAGGTATTCCATCTCCAACTGAGAAGTGTTCAAACCCCCCTTTCATTCCTTTATAATCCTTTATACTGGTCGGTCAAGAACAGGATTACCAGCTCGTGGATGGTGACAATCCCCAAATGTTGCATAGTCTAACCCTCGAATCATCAACCAACCATCATTTATCAGTTGTATCACCCATTTTTGGTGGTTGAAACGTCTAAAAAAACATCATGGTAAAATCCCCATCAAATAACTAATCAGCCAGGGTATTGAACAAGACCTGGTGAATCAACCAGTTTTATCGAGAGCGTCAACCTGCTCCAAGAGCCGCGCCTTATACCGATGACTAGGCCAAGCATGCAAGGGCATATGACGGCCAGCGATACCAACTCAGAGGCGATTGCGATGGGTCCAAAAGGATCATCCAATCAACCCAAAGAACAGCGACTGTGTATGTTACTTGACATAAGTTATTGTGGCAGTTGCGATCCTGTTGATATTGGGTTCTGAATGGGTAAATTACTAGGGTCCATAGTGGCAGGGTGGATATCAGTTGACAAACATGGGGGGAATCAATTCAACACCGCTTGGGATAAGACAAGAGGAATCAATACCACCATATCAAACTTACAATACGCATGGCAAAACAGCCAAACAGGTGGAATTTTGAGATAATACCTGCAAAAATCTACGTGTGTGAGTGTATGTGCACATATATATAAATAAATATATATATATATAAATATATAAATATATATATAAATATATATATATAAATATATATATATATAAATAAATATATAGAAATATAAATAAATAAATAAATAATAAAATAAATAAATAAATAAATAAATAACTATATATATATATATATGTGTGTGTGTGATTCCCTAAGCATCCAACGTAGCCGACCTGATGCCTTCCGACCAGGCAGCGGCGCGAAGCCTTCCGTCCTTCACTGCCGTGCAATTAAAGCGTGGCGAAGGATTATTGTTTGGCCCTTCAGAAAGCGACGTTAAGCCTTCAGCCCTTCCGGAGCTGGCGACTGCTTCTGAAATCGTTTTGCAAAAACCCATTTTCAGAAAGCGATGTTAGGCCTTCAGACCGGGCAGGGGCGTGCCGCCTTCCACCTTTCACTGTGTGGCCACTGTTCGAGCACAGGTGCTTTTTTCCGAGCTGGCCGCTGGCTTTGGCATCTTTCGGAAATCGTTCAGAAATTCTTCACGCTTACGATTCTGTCTTGCAGGCATGGCCTGCAAGACTGAATGTGCTTTACGCGGATTTGCCCTGATGCAAGCGTTGATTGATTGACCGTGCCGCATGATAGGCAGGCATGGCTATAAGACCATTCTGGACCCTAAATTGTTTACCGCAACCTGCAAAGCGGTGGTCAACTTAACCCGTGTGCACAGTACTTTGCACCGTTTGGCTACAAAACCTTCCGACTGGGCAGCGGCGCGAAGCCTTTCGTCCTTCACTGCCATGCTGTTAATAGCGTGGCGAAGGGGTCTCCGAGCTGAGCCTTTTGGCTCGCCTTTGAACCTTGTTCTATAGGTGTTTCAAAGCAAATGGACCACTGGACCACGACCTAGCTGCCCTTCGAGAAGCTTTCCTTCCGTCCTTCACTACCATGCTGTTAAAGCGTGGCAAAGGGTGATTTTTCCGGAGCTGGCGGCTGCTCTTGGCATTCTTGTTTGACCGTTCAGAAGCCTTTCACTGCCATGGCAGGCAGTTCAAGAGCTGACGGCGCCACGACCAGCTGCTCTGTCCCGCAGTGCCATGCTGTTCGGTGTGGCAAAACGTACGTTTTTGAGCCTTCTTCTGGCTGGCCTTTGAACCTTAATCTAGGCGTTTCAAAAGCGAGCAAATGGGCCACGACCTAGCTGCCCTTGGAGAAGCCTTCCGTCCTTCACTGCCATGCTGTTAAAGCGTGACGAAGGATACTTTTTCCCGAGCTGGCGGCTGCTCATTGGCATTATTCTTCTTTGACCTGTTCAGAAGGCGACCTGATGCCTTCCGACCGGGCAGCGGCGCGAAGCCTTCCGTCCTTCACTGCCATGCTGTTAAAGCGACGCGGCGGGTGCTTTCTCCGAGCTGGCGGTACGTTTTTGAGGTTTTCGGGTGGCCTTTGAACCTTGTTCTTAAGCGTTTCCAAGCCAGCAAATGGGCCACGACCTAGCCGCCGTTCGAGAGCAGTGGCGCGAAGCCTTCCGTCCTTCACTGCCATTCTGTTAAAGCATGGCGAAGGATGCTTTCTCCGAGCTGGGGGTACGTTTTTGAGCTGTTTGGCTGACCTTTGAACCTTCCTGGATCCTCGTGATCGTGGAAATTTCCACACCAAAACCAAAATCGATCAATTTTGTTAAATTCAAGAGAAAAGGAGCTCCTGAACGGCTATTTCCAACTCCCGACTGTTTTTTTCACTCCAGAACGCTTCCGAACGGTTTTGAACTTTTTTTAACGCTTTGTTAACGCTTTTTGAACGCTTTTTTCCGTCCGACATGTCCCGAACGGCAAAAACCACTCCGGTGTTCTTTTTTCCACACCAACACCAACCATCAGAATTTTTTGGGGGTTTGGAGTTTGGAGTTTAAAATTCCAGCATTGGGAATTTCCAGCTTGTTCTATGGGCGTTTCAAAGCGAGCAAATTCGCCACGACCTAGCTGCCCTTCGAGCAGCCTTTCGTCCTTCACTCCCATGCATTAAAGCGTGACGAAGGATACTTTTTCCCGAGCTGCCGGCTGCTCATGGAATTATTGTTTGACCCTTCAGAAAGCGACGTTAAGCCTTCAGCCCTTCCGGAGCTGGCGGCTGCTTCTGAAATCGTTTTGGTCCCATTTTCAGAAAGCGATGTTAGGCCTTCAGACCGGGCAGGGGCGTGCCGCCTTCCGCCCTTCACTGTCACACTGTTCAAGCACAGGTGCTTTTTTCCGAGCTGGCGGCTGACTGAATGTGCTTTACGCGGATTTGCCCTCATACAAGCGTTGATTGATTGACCGTGCCGCATGATAGGCAGGCATGGCTATGCAGGCGCCCCGCAACAAGACCATTCTGGACGCGAAATTGCTCTTGTCTTTCCACGGCCATGCCCCCCATACAGGGGGTCGGCGGCACCAGGACGGTAGCCCTACTTATATTGTTTTTTTTCAAACACCAGCTCTCCACGGAAACATACTCATCCATGGCCAAAAACAAACTGAACTGCTTTCATGCAGGAACACCCCCCAAGAAAAAACAGTCCTTGGAATCTTAACGCAGGGTTTTTGAGAAACAGACCCTAGCCTTAGCTGAAACCAAAGACTTGAAACTGACATTGTGCTCACGAGTGTGGAACACAAAGTCCCTCACTTTCGGAAAAACAAATAGGCGTGAATGGGCATTGGTGAATATACGATGGCAAACCAAGAAACTGCATTGGCCAATCCAAGCGGCCGAACAACTGGCAATTCCCCAAACACATATATGTTTGTGCCACACAAATCACCCAACCGTTTCTTTCTTTCAGGAATTTGGGACCCAACGAGTTGTGATAGCTTTTGTGTTTCGCTTTATAGCAGTGAAGATCCAAGGAACATCAAGCAAACATTTCGCAACAGTCTATTAACTGCATTTAATTCCTCTTACTTGCGTGGCATCCCTTGGAAGAAAGGGCATGAAACAATGTGGTTGAAGTCCTGGCTGATAATGCCGAATTGAGACACCAAACCTGAAATTCGCGAGGGCTGTGACTTCCAAACAACATCTGTCTTTAAGGAGAAAATCATGAGTCACATGTGGAACCTGTAAGCCCGGAAGCACCGATGAATGGCAATGAGTCATTTTTTAGGGTGCGAAGGGAGTACCGGTTGACGGTAACAACTTGCCATTGAGGACAGCCTCACCAAGGTTTGGCATGACCTCTAAAGTTGCCAAATTGCCGCTGCAACTTGAGCATGCTTTGGTAGGACCAGTGGCTGCTAAACATCCCTACAAAAAGCGGTGCTCGGAGGGTGGCCGGGGAGGGTGGCAGGGAGGGTGGCGGGGTTCACCAATTATTGGCGCAACTTTGGGTGCGCAAAAAAATCTCTCTCCTTAAGTTTTTTGATGTTTGACGCCCGCACCAATATTTTGTGTGTGTTTTTTCATGTGTTTTTTTCAGCCTCTGCACAGTTTGCCTGCCCGTCACTGTGTCTTGAACACGTTCCTTCAGAAATGCAAAATTTGCAAAATGCTGCATGCTTGAAAAACTCAGTATATAAATGATGTAATCATAAAACATATCTGACATATCTGTTTGACCCACCATGGCCTGCAAACTTATGGGCTTGAGAGATTCACCAGAGGTTCGCGCCGCAAATATGGAAAAAATATTGTCACTGCTTTATGCGGATTCTACGTGTACAAAAGTGCCACAACACCTAGTCCCGAAGGTCCAAAGGTTGCAAATCACCCAAGTTTGCCCAAAGGACAAAGTTTGCACATCTAGCGAAAAGTTGCTGCTGCCACTGAATAGAACATAATAGAACACCAACACCCTGCACATCACGCCATGCCCCTACCGTTTATGAACCCTTCAAAACATCATTGTTTCGTGGGGGTATTCTTCATCGAGGTTTAGCCAAGGCACAGCAGCTTGAATAAGCCACATTTGCTCAAAGGGTGGGACCGGTTCAATCTTCCAAGCATCTGCCACTGTACCTTTGCGGTCGACACTTCGACGGCCCAAGAAAGTGGCAAACCACTTGGACCCTTGAAATGCATAGCGTTCACTAAAAAATGGAAGCGAAACATTATGTCACTTTAAAGTTTCAATGGGGTAGTAATCTGGCATAGGTTACGGTATGGCCCGGAAATTCTTCAGCAACAACTTTCAACATAAATGATCTGTGCTTTGCCGCCGGTAGAAAATTCAAACAGTTGGGCCCAAGTGGTTTCCTCCTATGTCGATGCCACAATGTACTTTCCGTCTTTTGGGGGGCTCCTATCTATCTATCTATCTGTCTATCTATCTATCCATCCATCCATCCATCCATCCATCTATTGCGCGATCTATCCATCTATCCATATATCAATCTATCCATCCACCCATCTATCCATCTACCTATCCACCTATCTACCTATCTAACCTATCTAACCTATCTAACCTATCTACCTCTCTACCTCTCTACCTATCTACCTATCTACCTACCTATCTACCTACCTATCTACCTATCTACCCACCTATCTACCTACCTATCTACCTACCTACCTGCCTATCTATCTATCTATCTACCTATCTATCTATCTATCTAATCTAACCTAATCAAATCCAATCTGTCTATATCTGTCTAATCTGTAAATCCTTGTAGCCAAAGCTGGCATCCAGGAACCCCCCCAGCTACATCCATCAATGGTTTTCCCAAAGGCAGTTCTTCAGAACACATCTCAAAATTATGTCCGTATAAATGTTAGAAGGATGCAGAATGTACATATGTCATATGCTTATGGCCGGCATTTATGCCATATGCCCAAACATGTGCCGGAATGCATGTCAGAATGTATGTCAGGAGAATAGATGTCGGAGTATGTGTCGGAGACATGTCAGAGTATGTTTCAGAATATGTCTGAATACATGTCATTAAATCATGTAGGAAAATACGTCAGTATTTATGTCATAACATATGTCAGAAAGTATGTTAGGATATATTAGGACAAATGCCAGACTACATGCTAAAACAAATGTCGAAATTAATGCCAGCAGCCAATGAAAGAACATACGTCAGAATACATCTCAAGAATTCATGTCATGACAAATGCGACAAAATATGTCAGCCTATATGGCAGGACAAATGTTAAAACATAAATGATATGTCGAAATATATGACATATTGTGCGTCGTAACTTTAACATGAAATGTCAGATTTTACGTCACAATATTGCCTGTTTGCATGCCAGAATTAAGACATTTAAGAAACAGAACGTTGGTCAAACCAAACATATACATTGCATGATGAGAAAGAAAAACATAATGCATATACACACACATTATGTATCATTATATAACAGCACTATCATTACTGTATGTATCTGTATGTATCTGTATGTACGTATGTGATCGTATGTGTGTATGGTAGAGGTTTTGTCACCCATGTCCCTTGTCATGCTGAGTCATGCCCTGCTCAAGACCGACTCAACCGCCACCAGTGACCGTTGTCGAGCCAGCGCAACCCCTGAGGATCCACCAAACCTACTTCGATGGATCCTTGGTGGTGAAGTCGGTTGGTGGCCCCCCTGGCCAATATAGCCAACTAGTGCCAACTAGCGGAGGATTGGCCTTGCAGTTGATTCATGGAGTAAAACATAGTGAAACTATGTAACACTTACGTCTAACCCAACTTATGGGTATATATTATATATAGGGTTTCGTCAGTGCGCATGACATTGCATCACCCATCCTGGCCTCAAGATATCCTACAAGAAGTGGATCCGACCTTCATTCCCGCAGGAACAGTCTCCAGCAATCTATGTTGGTTGATGTGGGGTTCCATCGCCATCCATCACAAAACTCTCCCTACAAAACCAGGAAACAAAAACAGGGCGGTTCATTCTCAGTCGGATATCCCTTCTGGCAATTGAATATAGCTATGGAAAATGGCTGTGCTTACCATTAAATAAATGTTATTATCCATGGCTATGTTTAATTATTAGAGGGTAATCATGCCTACAAAAACAAAAGGCAAAGTCAACTGAACCAGCTGGCTATTGTCAGCATGTTGGGAGTGTCTCAAACAGTCTCACTGAAACTATCTTGACCCCCTGATTTAACTAGTGATTTACCATCATGTGTCATTTCACGGCCATGTTGCGGTTGAAGCGATGACCACTTTTTAGTATCTAAATTGGAGGTACCTACCATGTACAAGGCCTATGCATGCCTATGCAAGGGCAAAATTTCAGGGAATATCCACACGGAACGAAATATATAATATGGCCTTATATGGTACAGTATCTGCATTGTAAGGTTCTGAAGTTCCTGGTTGAATCAGTTGAATCAGGCATCCCTTCCTGGTACCCCAGGTACGATGTTTCGTCATATCACACCTGGGTCCGCTGTGTCATGGCCTGCAGCCGTGGATCTTCCCTGTCGCACCTGTTGAATCGCCAAGGTATTAGCGCGGTCGTTGCCACCAAATTTCACCTGGGTCATGGGTCGCCAGGGATATTATGGCAGAAATGCCGAGAGTTTCACGAACGGGCCCTTAGACATTAGCATTGTGTGCATGACAACAAGGAACAAAACAGTTGACTTCCAAATCATGGGTCAAGGTTGGGCTGTTTCGCCCCCATTTTTGTTTAAGCACCTACTGTGCATGTTCCTGAGAACGTTTTAATATGTTAATTTTAATGTTTTATTGTCGATTGCAACTTTTTTCCAGAAAGCATCACATTTCGAGGTGTTACATGATCACTCCAGCTATTTAGCCACCAGCCCATTTTCAGTGGTTTTTAGAAGGAGGCCGGAAGGCCATTTGGGAGGTTCCACGAGAAATGCAGGAACTTGGGGAAACTGACTCCATCATCGCGGCTGACTCCTTCCTGTCCCTTTCAGGCATGGAGAAATGTCGCTAGTTCAACATGTATGTCATGTATGCTACACTTTTATATGTGGATCATGTTGATCTATATATGTCATCATATCACAGCCATCATGTCCTGTGGATCATCCAGGCCTACCACGATATGTATGTGGACATGTTCTTCATGTTCATCCCGTGGCCCCCGGTGGCATCGGCGCAAGAAACACGACCGGAGATACCCTGAAAGTCCATGCTGGTCCGAAGGAAGCTTGTGAACCTGCAAGCATCGGTGCCTTATACCATTCAAGATGCCAAAGATAGTGAACTGGGGGTATGTATCATCAAAAGGCCAGAAAACAAAGTAAAACTGTAAATACATGTAAATGCGAGATCCATGCAGGATACCCCCTCATCATCTGGTAATTTAATATAGCTATGGAAAGTATAGACTTCTAACGATTTATAGTATTTATAGTTTATATATATATTATTTGCCTATGAAACATGGACATGTTCCATAGCCATGTTGAATTACCAAAGGGTATAAATTATAAACAGTGGAAGAATCACCTTAGTCGATACCTGCCGGCCGTGCCCTGCTGGTAGCACCCACGGCGATTACTGAGCAGCAATATTCACCCGTTCCAATCCGTCGTGGATAGGGTCGGATTCTCGCGTGTGGGATGTTGTAGGATTATCAACCCCTGTTGTTGGAGAACTGTCCTCCGCCAACCCGACCCATGCGCACGTGAGTCATCGACTCTTTCTGCATTCCAAGCAATGTGGATTCACCTCAAGTTGTGTTTCATGTTTGTGCATACCATACCCCTACTTAACCATACCCCTACTTGGGATATAAAGCCCTTATATATCTAGCACAAAACATGTCGGTTAGATTGGATGTGTTTTTTTTTGCTGTTGTGGATCCAATAAGCCAACAAACCAACACTCATTCCCGAGCCTCTGATAAACCTCATCATCAGGGTGTTGAACTTGTCCCATGGTATAGCCCTGCTTCAGCATGGACCTGGAACCAAGCAGCAGAACCAGTCCAGAGAGGATGACTGCTGGCCATTGGGGACCGACAATGATGACTGCTTAATAAGTGCTTATAGCATCTTATAACAAGCAGTGGTTTGGGGATTGGTTGAATCTCCATCTCTGCGGGACCTTTTGGTGTGTAGGTGCCTGTCTGCCAAGAATCCCCGATGATTGTTGCACTGCATCAAAGGGAAAGGCAAGACTCATCAACAAAAACACGCCAAACAAAAACTTCATCCGTCTGAATCCAACATATAAGTCCCATCTCTTGGAGGCGCAGACTGAAAGTGACTTCATATGACTGTATCAATGCCACCTTTAAAAAACACATGACTCCCCAATCATGCCATGGGACAAAGCTGCCTGTTTTTAGCAGCAGATTGCAATTTCATAGTCATGAACACGAAAAAATAGACGGTTTGCCACCTACCACATCTGTTTTTCATTAGCCTGCACTACCCTCTGAGAACCTAATCTGGCAATCGAACACTCCTTACCTCTGCACTCATTTTAGACGCATGATTCTTCCCGGTTCTAAAAATGGATTTCCCAGGCAAGGTTTTTGATAAGAGATAAACCAGAGGCCTTAATGGGTACTATAAACAAGATCTTGCAGTGCTGCAGGTGGCTGCAAGGAGAAAGCAAATGCACACGCACCATCAACGGCAAGCCCTTTGACATCGTCGTAGGGGTCCTTAGGGCCAACGGTCCAGCGGTATAAGCATCATGGGCAGGCTGGAAGGATTGCAACGTTTTTCTTACCAGTAGTACCGCACAAGGCGGTGGCGGAAGTTTCAAAAATAGGAAACCTATAGGAGTGGTTGGTTGTTGTGAATCAGGGATGGCAGAGCGAAGCCACTGATGGACTGAAAGGTGATTGATCTCTTTCACTCTTTCTCTCTCTTTCTCTGACTATCTACCTACCTACCTATCTATCTTCTATGTATGTATGTATCTATCTATCTACCTATCTACCTATCTACCTATCTACCTATCTACCTATCTACCTATCTACCTATCTACCTATCTACCTATCTATCTATCTATCTATCTATCTATCTATCTATCTATCTATATCTCTCTCTCTCTCTCTCCCTCTCTCTCTCTTTCATCTGTCTATCTGTCTAGCTGTCTACCTGTCTACCTGTCTATCTATCTATCTGTCTATCTGTCTATCTGTGGTGCAGTGTCATTCAGTGTAGTGTAGTGTAGTGTAATGTAGTATAGTGTAGTGGAGTGTAGTGGAATGTAGTGTAGTGTAATGTAGTGTAATTTCGTGTAGTGGAGTGTAGTTGTGTAGTCGTAGGTGTAGTTGTAGTGCGGTGGAGTGTAGTGTAGCGTAATGTAGTGTAGTGTAGTGTAATATAGTGTAGTGGAGTGTAATGTAGTGTAGTGGAGTGTAGTGTAATGTAGTGTAGTGGAGTGTAGTTGTGTAGTGTAGTGGAGTGTAATGGAGTGTAGTTGTGTAGTTGTAGTTGTAGTGTTGTGGAGTGTAGTGTAGTGTAATGTAATGTAGTGTATTGTAGTGAAGCGAAGCGAAGCGACATCTGAGCCTCCAAAAGTGGTCCGAACCCCTAGTGTTTTGAACCTTTTTACTTCGAAATGTGCTTCGCCCCACAACGGCGTGCACTTTTTCAACATCTCAACTTCCAAAAGTGGTCCGAGAATGGTGTGTTTTGTACATTTTGACTTCGAAATGTGCTTCGCGCCACAACGGCGTGCACTTTTTCGACATCTCAACTTCCAAAAGTGCTCGGAGAATAGTGTGTTTTGTATATTTTGTCTTCGAAATGTGCTTCGCGCCACAACGGCGTGCACTTTTTCGACATCTCAACTTCCAAAAGTGCTCCGAGAATAGTGTGTTTTGTACATGTTTCTTCGAAATGTGCTTCGCGCCACAACCGCGTGCACTTTTTCATCTCTCATCTGGCCAGCTGGCTCCGCACCCGGCGCTTTAGCGAGCCTACTTTTCGACCCTCCGGAGCCCCAAATCATTGGGAAAACACAATGTTTCGCGACTTTCCTACCTTTTCGCGAATCTGCATCTTCTTTCTTCTGACTCTTTCTCTTCTCTGATCTTCTCTCTTCTAATCTTTCTCTTCTCTCTGCCTCTGCCCTGCTCTGCTTTTCATCTGTCCATATTGTTGGAAGTTTGACTTCTAAACTTCCTTCGAAAATATGTATTCATGTACAAACATGTAAATGTACATTAACATTTCATATGCTACAATATATTGATCCGGGTTGAAATTACCCGGGAGGACCTGTGCAACCGTTCTGTAGCTATGATCCTCTATGCGCCCACTTTCAATCTACAAAACCTTCTTCACAGCCCAAAACCGTCCCCTACAAAATGCAATGGCTACTTCTGTTTTCGTGTGGCAAAGAACGTGCATTTTGTAGCAGCCCCACTTTTAAGCTCTTCAGAGGCAGAAATGCATTTTGTAGTGGTGTTTTTTGGGGCTCAAAATTCATAACCAGATGTGCACGCCCTCATTTTATAGCTCTCGGCCGTTGGTTGATGGAGTTTTTTCTCCAGATCAACTATTGCATGAAGTTCCAACGACCCTCACGTAAGCATGGTATCTAATATGCGTGTCAATTAGTGTGACATCGTGTCATCTAGAGTCAATTAGTGGTGTCAATTCGTATCGATTAGCTTTATTTAGTGGCAAGTAGTGCAATTGAGTGTCAATTAGTGACATTTAGTGTCCAATTAGTGTCAATGAATGTTATTTAGTGTTCATTAGGGTCAATTAGGATCATTATGGATCATTTAATTGTGTGCAATAAAAAAACAAAAAGCAACCAAAAAACAACAAATGAAGAGTTCCCACAAAAAAGGCAGCTCAAGGCAGCTAATTGTCTGTACCAAAAAAGCAGGGCAAGCAATACACAACGAAAGCACTTACTAGAAATGGTTCGGGCACAACAGGATTCCTTACAGACAAAATTTCAGTCGTTACAAAGTACCAAAGTCTGCCCATCCAATTACTGCGCGCTACAAAATGATGAGGCCGCCTCACTTCACTACAAAATGCATGCTGTGATCAACTATTGCATGAAGTTCCAACGACCCTCACGTAAGCATGGTATCTAATATGCGTGTCAATTAATTAGTGTGACATTGTGTCATCTAGTGTCAATTAGTGGTGTCAATTCGTATCGATTAGCTCTATTTAGTGGCAACTAGTGCAATTTAGTGTCAATTAGTGACATTTAGTGTCCATTAGTGTCAATTAGTGTAATTTCATTCAGCGTAATGATGAGCAAACAGCAACCAAAAACAACAAAGGAAGAGTTCCGATAAAATTCAGCTCAAGGCAGCTAATTGTCTGTACCAAAAAAGCAGGGCAAGCAATACACAACGAAAGCACTTACTAGAAATGGTCCGGGCACAACAGGATTCCTTACAGATTAAACTTAAGCCATGACAAAAAACCAAATCCAAGAAAAGGCAGCAAGCACACCCAAATAGCCAAAAGGATGGATTGTGACCATGATTCATTCCTCCTTCCATGAATGTACAGGGCTCAAACACCCTGTAATCTCACAAGGAGAACACTTGGAGTCAAACCCCCAAGCGCATTCTTGGATGATGGAACTACTCTCAGTCTCAACCCAGGGAAGATGAAATCTCAGGGCAAAAAAAAATGATACGTAACCAGTTCAAGAACACACATAAGGAAGCAAGAGCTATCAAATGAATCGTGTAAGAGAACGGAAGCGCGCACGGCAAACTCAGTGTTCCAGAAAAATGGGGCAGATTGCCTGGACGCTAATATCACGTGACCAAAACATACCATTGGGCTTTGAAGGGGATGGCGCTTCTATGTGCGTGCCCGGTTCAATGCACGCTACAAAATGATGAGGCCGCCTCACTTCACTACAAAATGCATGCTGTGATCAACTATTGCATGAAGTTCCAACGACCCTCACGTAAACATGGTATCTAATATGCGTGTCAATTAGTGTGACATTGTGTCATCTAGTGTCAATTAGTGGTGTCAATTCGTATCGATTAGCTCTATTTAGTGGCAACTAGTGCAATTTAGTGTCAATTAGTGACATTTAGTGTCCATTAGTGTCAATTAGTGTAATTTCATTCAGCGTAAAAAACGCCAATGCTACAAAATGAAAATCCAAGTGTTTACTACAAACTGAACATCATGAGAACATAAAACTGTCTTAAAAAACCAGCCAACTCAGGCTTTATACTTAGCATAGGTTCATAGACTTCCAATCCTACCATCTTCTACCAAAGACACGTCTCTACAAAATGCAAGTATGCAGCCCGATACTAGTAGCGAAAACAATGTCCTTACAAAATGAAGGTGCCCAGCACCAAAACTTGCTATAAAAACCCTAACGTTTTCCATGTTATATTATATGGGACCCAGGTCCTCCCATTCTGTAGTGCTTATTTCAACGAGGATGGCTATTGCGCGTTGCACTGATGACACTGATGTTTGACTACAAATTGCTCATGATCACATAAGACGGGTCATGTTGTTTCCTGTGACCCCAACCATGAAAGCCACTACAAGTTGCTATTGTATTTTTCAGTGTTTTTTCAGTAAAAAAATCACTCGTAAAAAAATCGATCAAAAATCCTTACTACAAACTGCTATTTCGATTTTTTTGATTGGATCTTATTGCCTTACAAAACTCGACTGCTACAATTTGCTTCTGCACGACGTCACAGGGGACCAAGGCCTAGCATTCTGTAGTGGAAATTCTGACCGGGATGGAAAGGTATTAATTCCAAAAAAACATTTTACTACAAAATGGTATCTCGGGGAAAGGATGGGAAAGGTATTAATCAAAAATTATCTTTGCTATAAGATGTCAGGCACGACTACACTTTTATTGTTATGTTAAGAACCTAAGGTCCCTACAAAATGCATAGCTCCAAATTCTCATAAAGTATCAAACAAAGCTTCTCCTACAAAATGCTATTCCCAACCACATGTTTTACTATAAAACAATCTTGTTTTTCAGCTTTATAGCTTTCACAGGTGCATCCTTTCTGTAGTGGAAATTTCTTCCCGGATATATATTGTACTATATTATATATGCTGTCATTCATAATGCATATACGTTTCCAATTTCCAATTGTTTTCGTTGGTATCCAAACCAGCCTCATATGCGACGGGCCTCTTGCTGAGGGTGTCTCAAACTCAGGATGAGCAGATCCTTTGTTTATCAATGGGGGGTGCCAATGACAATAATTCGCAATGTATAGTACTCCATCCCGAGGGGGCCGCCTTCATAAACTCGGACCACCGAAAAATAAATAAACAAGTAAATGTAGACCCAGTTTTGTTGGTGATATCTTGGTTCGTGGGGATTAATAGATATAGATCTAAAAAAAAACGCACACGCTGTCTATGCGATCACGCTGCGCTGACGATGGTGGAAAGGTCACCCTCCGGGAAACCGTTCTGCAAATGATGGTCCAGTAAGGCTCTGAAACTCCTTTGGCCGTGCCATCGTTGAAGACACTCAAGGTATCCAAACATGTGGATGTTTGGTGGGTGCCAAACATGAACAATTTAGTGGCCTCGTGTTTTAAAAACAATCTGATTTGGCAGGTGGGATCACGCTGTGTGGATCCTGAACCAAATCTGCACACCGCTGTTTTTTTTCAATTGTGCCCATACATCCTAAAATTTACATCGCGGTGCGTCATGTGTCCGAACTTTGAACCACTGTCACTGAAACTGGGGTTGTTCAATGATGTTCAATCGGATTAGCTGCCAATCATTTTTCCCCAAAATCACCAGAACGGTCAAAATCGTCTTGAGGTTTGTTCCACGTATTGTGTAGGCTGGCAAATGCCAAACCTAAACTGCACATTTCACTATATATATGTGTATATATATATATATGTATATATATAAATATGTATATATATATATATATATATATTTATGTATGTATATATGTGTATATGTAAATATATATATATATATGTATATATATATATATAAATATGTATATATATATATATGTGGGTGTGATACTTTTTGTGTACGTAAACGCACCATTTCAATTTCAATAAATAATGTGTTTCAGTTCTTTGTTTCAGCCTCAACTCTTCACATGTCTCATCATAACACCGACCAAGTGGTTCACCCACTTGATGTTTCCTTCAAACTCTTCAACCCTTCTAATTTCTTCAAATTTGCGGGTGGTCCAAAGCCTTTGGTTTCTCGAAGTCCCACATTCAAAAAAAAACACCTTAGACCCAAATTAAAATAAACACATAAATACAATCCTTTCATATCCGTTCGTAAAAAACGTATATATGTATTATACATATATAGATGTGTGTCTGCTGATTTACATTTATAATTACATACACTCACCAGGTATATTAAATATAAATATTCATGTGTGCAAATCAATTCTGAGAAATATATATGTATGTAAATATATATATATATTATATGTATAAATTAATGTATATATATATATATAAATAAAACATATCATAATCATAATCATGTATGCATACAAAGATCATATGCCAATTTTCCCCCGGTTCTGCGCCTGGGGCTGTGCCCCTTGAAGCACGGCAGTGGTTTTTCCATGTCTTCGCTCACCGGCTTGCCGAGGCCCACCACGCTGACGGCACCTGAGTTGCAACTGGTCCAAGGAGCCCGCCATTGGGGGTTGACCGCAAAAACAAGTGGGTTCAAATGATAGTTCAAATGTAGATCAACCAGGTTTGCCATTGAAGTTTTGATGAATTTTAATGACAGCTGCGGAAATTGCTTTAATCAAACTACATATAGCAGGTGGCATGTAATAGATGTCGATTTTTTTTGAAACCCTTATTAGTTGTGGTTGGTACTTAGATAGCCCAAAAAGCAAACATCATGACTCATGTCAGCTGCGGATTCATGAGTTCCGTGGATTAATTAGGACTTACCCATGAACAGTGAGGACCATGAAAGTTAGTCCCCCGATAAAAGTAAACATGTGTTTGGTCCCCACCTGCCAGGTGAGAGTCTCTAGATCTTATCAAAGGTGCTGCGTGCCTCCGCCTGCCTCCCCCTCGGCCTCCTCCGCTTCGGACTCCGCCTCTGCGACCTCAACCGCGACCGCCAGATTTCAGTGGGCACTGCCGGACCCCAAAATGCGACCTCAGCGCGAACAGCCTCAACCGCGAGCGTGGGCACAGCCGGACCTCAACCGCGAGCGCCAGATGTCAGTGGGCACAGCGCCAGAGCTAAGTGGGCACTGCCGGACCTCAACTGCGAGAGCCAGATCGTGGGCACCGCCGGACCTCAATTGCGAGTGCAAGATGTCACATAGAATGTCAGATAAAATGCCTGAAATAAATGTCGGAATACATGCCAAATAGAATGTCAGTTGGTGGGGATCACTGGAAGAACGTAATTTCAATGCTAGGTCACAGGCTGAACATTGTATAACCGTATAGCGCTGATAAAGGTATGGTTGGGGGCTCATCATGGATACATACCGGAGTTTAAAACAAGCATCAATGAGGGTTTGCCAACGGTACATGACAAATATGGTATATGACATAAGGCAAGGAGTTATTAAATGCACTGGCAATCCAAGATGGGCTACCCTCATGGATCCACCAGAGGCTGTTCTTGGTGAGTTGGCCGGTCGACCTCTCTGTGGGATGCTGAAGCTATTTCCAACATCTTGAGACAAGATGGGGATCACCGATAAAACAAGTAAGCAAAGAATCGTCAATTGGGATGATCATTTGTTTTGGCTGATGGAAGTGAAGAGAGTGGGAAATATTAGCAAGAACTCCGCTGTACGGCCAGTGGACTTCTGAAAGGAGTAGGGGAGCGAAGAGAACCGAGAAGCGAAGAGAGTAGAGATGTGGAGGAAGTGGAAAGCTGAGTAGAGATGTGAAGAGAGCCGAGGTGTGAAGAGAGTAGAGATGTGAAGAGAGTAGAGGTGTGCGAAGAGCAGGGATGTGCAGAGAGTAGAGATGTGAAAAGAGTAGAGATGTAAAGGAATTCGAGGTGTGAAGAGAATAGAGATGTGAGGAGAGTAGAGGTGTGCAAAGAGCAGGGATGTGCAGAGAGTAGAGATGTGAAGAGAGTAGAGATGCGCAAAGAGCAGAGATGTGCAGAGAGTAGAGATGTTCAGAGAGTAGAGATGTGAAGAGAGTAGTGGTGTGCAAAGAGCAAAGATGCGCACACAGTAGAGATGTGCAGAGAGTAGAGATGTGCAGAGAGTAGAGATAAAGTAGGGAAGTGAAGAGAGGAGGGAAGTGAAGAGAGAGAGTAGGGACATGAAGGAAGTGGGGAAGTGAGGAGAGTCTGGAAGTGAAGAGAGTAGGGGAGTGAAGAGAGTAGAGAGGTGAAGAGAGTAGAGAAGTGAAAAAAAGAGCATATAGAGGATTAAAGAAAGTCGCGAAGTGAAGAGAGGAGGGAAGTGAAGACAGTCGAGAGGTGAAGACAGTAGAGATGTAAAGAAGAATGGAGAATTGAAGAGTGTCGGGAAGTGAAGAGAGTAGGGAACTGAAGGGAGTAGGAAAGAGAAGGGAAAAAGGGATGAAGAGAGTAGGGAAGTGCCGAGAGTAGGGAAAGAAGTTCGTCAGGAGAGAAGGGTGTGTCAGGTCTCGGGATCCAGAGCTGTCAGCCGGAAGGGCTGTCAAGATTCAGAATGACAAGCGCAAGCTGGATCGAGAGAAAGTAGCATCAGAAGAAACGAAAGTCGAGAGAAAAAAATGTCAGGATGAAAAAAACGTCCAGACAAACAACAGGCAACAGGAAGCGCTGTCAAGATTCAAAGATGACAAGCGCAAGCCAGATCAAAAGACAGTGGCATCATCAGACAAGGATGTCGAGAGAAAGAGATGTCAAAGAAAACTATTTCCGAGAGATGACACGGTCAACGGCCGTGACAACCAGGCGGTCAGGAGGCTTTCCTATAGTCTCTCCCTTTTCTTTATAGCCTTCCCCCCTTTCGAAACTTCCGTCACCCTGCTTGCCCGGGCTCTACTAGTAAAAATATATGCAGTAGAAAAAGCAAAGAGCTGAATTTCATCAAAGCAGTCTTGGACTAGAAACCCTAGTAATTCGCAACGAAAATACTTGGGAAAATTTGGGAACACATGCTCTATTTTGTGCACATTCCTGTCAAGTAGATGTGTGATGATCTATGATCTATGGTGGTGACGTCTGCATATGGTCCAAGTGAACCAGCATCCTTCATAACAATTGAAAGGCACTTTATTTCTTTATTTCCTATGTCAATTAACAAGAGAACTCAGGCAAACTCAGCACTTGCGCCTATACCTATACCAATTATGATATTTCTCCACCTGCCAGGTGAGGGTTGTTAGATTTTATCAGAGCTGTTGTCCTCCTCCTCCTCCGCCTCCTCCTCCTCCTTCTCCTCCTCCGTCTCCGCCTCCTCCTCCAGTTTCTCCTCGGCCATGTCTGCATCAACTTCCACCTCCACTTCCGCCTTGCCAACTCTTCGCCAAGCTCTTCGCCAACTTCCCAGCTCAGTGCGCACTGCTGGACCTCAACCTGGGACCTTCCCAGCTCAGTGCGCACCGCTGGACCTCAACGGCCAGATAGAATGCCAGAAGGTATGCCAGATAGAATGTCAGATAGAATGCCAGAAGATATGCCAGATAAAATGCCATAAGATATGCCAGGTAGAGTGCCAGAAGATATGCCAGATAGAATGTTAGAAGATATGCCAAATAGAATGCCAGAAGGTATGCCAGATAAAATGTCAGATAGAACGGCAGAAGATATGCCAGATAAAGTGCCAGAATGTTTGCCAGATAGAATGCCAGAAGATTTGCCAGATAATATGCCAGAAGATATGCCAGATAGAATGCCAGATAATGCCAGAAGATATGCCAGAACATATGCCAGAAGATATGCCAGGTAGAATGCTGGAAGACATGCCAGATAGAATGCCAGAAAATATGTCAGATAGAATGCCAGAAGATTTGCCAGTAAGAACATGTATAAAGTATAAATGTCATGGTGGGGATCACACGAAGTAAAGTAATTATGATCTATTCACATGACGGCTAATTCCCCGCAAATTTCCCCAAAGGATAACAAAGGCTTTATCAAAGGTATGTCATGTTTTCTGCTATAGCCCCTCGGTATTCCCCAGCCTTCATATGCCGCGTTGATGGCCTCCAATGAACACTCGGGCACTTGGTCCTGCGAGGCAAATTGGTGGCCATGGTAGTCACGGCAACAGGAGGTTGCTGGGATAGTTTGGGATAGTCAAAATTCGGAAGACTTACTCATCATTGCTGGATATTTTACATAAGTTACCAACTAAAACGGACTTACTCATTGTCACTATTTAGGTCCACTTGGCCGGTAGAATGAATCACCAAACAGCCGCTCTTTGCTGTGATTTCCAAACTGGCAAAGGATAGATGCAAACGTGCCAGTGGAACGAAACGATGCACATATGTGATTATATATATAATAATAATGATGATAATAATAATAATAGTATTGGAAAGAAAACAAATCATTCATGTAACATACGGGTGGGTTCATATTGTGAATGATTTAAAACGTTTCAAACATCTCTCCATGTATTATGATACCATGCGTACTGTATATAACTTCTATGACGACATGACGCACGCCCTTTTTCGCAGGCCCCGCCTCAATGGATTTCTGGTAATCGGGAGGCAGCTGAATGGCATAGACTCCGATGAGCTGATCGGTGCTGTCTCCTTGGTGCCCGAAAAAAAGCAGCAGACGAGAAGATAATACACAAGATACCCTCTGGTAAACTAACATAGCTATTGAAAATTGCCATTTATAGTGGATTTTCCCATTGAAAATGGTGATTTTCCATAGTTACGTTAGTTTACCAAAAGGTAAAATGATGATGACGGATGATGGTGATGATGGTTGTGATGTTGACGGTGACGAATGGTGGTCACATGTCATATATCCACAGTTTGATGCTTTTTCCCCGAAAGGTTTGCTCCAGGGCTGGCGCCTTGGCGACAATCAGAATCTGGAGAGATGGTGTTTTCATGTGTTTTCACACACAGAAGCTTTAATCATGGCAGATCACAAGGAAAAGATGGTGATTTTGGTGATTTTCACTTTAAAATGGTGATTTTCCATGGGTAAAAGTCTTTACACAGGAGCTTTTGCACACAGAAGCTTTTACACAGAGGAGTCTTTAGACAAAGGGGCTTTTACACAGGGGAGCTTTTACACACAGACGCGTTTACACACAGAAGCCTTTACTCAGAGAAGTCTTTACACAGAGGGGCTTTTATACACAAAAGCCTTTGCACACTGAAGTTTTTACACAGAGGAGCTTTTACACACAGACGATTTTGCGCGCAGAAGCTCTTACTCAGAGAAGCTTTGAAGCACAGAAACTTTTACAAAGAGGACCTTTTACACAGAAGAGTTTTTACACACAGCAAGCTTTTACACAGAGAAGCTTTTACACACAGCAAGCTTTTACACAGAGGAGCTTTTACACACAGAACTTTTACACGCAGATGCGTTTACATACAGAAGCTTTGAGACACAGAAGTTCTTACCTTACACAGAGAAGTCTTCGCACAGAGGAGTTTTTTTTACAGACAAAAGCTTTTACACAGAGATTACACACAGAAACTATTACACACAAACGCGTAGAAGATCCAACCAGAAAGCTAAGGATGTTCCAGTCCCCACACCACTAGTTAAAGCGCGGTGCATTCACTTGAACACTGTCGAACGCTGCAATCAGCGTTTGGGTATATATGCCTTGTCATGTACATCATGACTAATCAACAATCATAGTATTCTATATCTCCATACCCAATTACAATTCCCGAATATATAACGCACGGTTCCCTTCTGATAATTAAACATAGCAGTGGAACATCACCAATTTGGGTCGATGATTTTCCCAGCTCTCAACACTTCAGGTCCTAGATGCTTACCCCCGTGGCGAAGAAGGCCGCTTCCGCGCCGCCGCTGGGACCATACGGCGCGAAGTCCGCGTAGTCTCAGTGCGTGCCAAACGGTTTTTGGATCAACGGGAATCAACGGTTGAATCAATGGGGAAAGCTGGGAAATGTGATTAAAAAATGGTGAACATGGCGAGACATGGTGAAAACATAGTATGAATATGGTGAAATGGGCTATGAAACTAGGTTTTCATCTGTTTGAATGGTGAAAAATCATGTATTTGGTTGCACATGTTGAAGCAAAACCCTGCAGTGATGAGGATATGAATAAGTCATAATAATATATAATAAGGCTATAGTGGGGAATACAAGCAACAAGCTGGGGATACCTCTACGGCTTTCCCAAACTCTCATTCTATGAAGTACTGGTTGGTTGAGAACAGGATCCCCGGCTCATGGGTTATGATAATCCCCAGCGTATTGGGTAATATAACCCGAACCAATCATCAACCACTATGATAACCGTGATTCAACCACCCCTTATATAGTTAGCTATAAATTGTGGGTCTATCCGCCGCCTAAAATTGGATTTTAGGACCAACCATAGAGGCATCAAACACTACATAATTGGCAATCACATAATCTTAGATGTTTCTTTTTCAGCAGATTGGGCTATTAGATCTCTTTTTATGGATAAATAATCATAGTAAGAGACTAGTCTATCCGGTATGTCTATCCCACGTTTCCCCTGAAATGATTGTGGTTTTAGAGGAGTTCTTAATTCTTCCTCAAAATGATCACTAAGTGGAACTTAATTAGGGTGTAGAAAATTGTGATTGAATTTTATTGGTAGCTTGAGACATTTTCAAAACAGGCAAATATTGCTCCGATCCTCCTAAAGTGCCTCCGAAAAGGGCGTGTTTGAAGCTTGAGATGCGATGATGCGCTTTGGGGTCCAGATACATTACGATTGGTTGGTGTAATATTCAGTTGCATGCTGATCTGCATCTCTTCAAACTTGTTGGATGTGAACCTGCACCAAAGATGGAACCCCACCGAGAAAGACGTGCAAAGCTCCCGCAAGAGAAGTTCCGACTAGAAGCTGCCTAGAATCTTCCGAACAAGATGCTTTGCTTCCGTCCCCAGCTTGTTATTGGTGGTTGATTCATTTTGATTTGAGTTTTTACATTTTGTACATCCACCTTGGTGGCAGCCACTTCCAATCCCATACTGAGCTCGAGATGCGAATGTCATCTGGGTTTGCCATTGCCTCCTGGAGCCCATGAGTCGAGGAGATCATGAAGCCACAAGCCCACGAAATTCTAGATAAAATAATGCAAAATATACAAATTCACTAACTTCAAATGGGGAATACACTGGGCATATTTCATTTCTCGGATGAATCAATGAGAAATCATGGAGATACCCTGATTTTAGATGATAAAAAGAAACAAGAATTCACTTTAAGCCTGAAAAGTTGGGCTAGGGATCATTGCCCCAATCCAATTCCCATCACCTGTCACAGTCTCCTGGTAGACACGACCAAGTCCCGAATCCTTCCTGGGACGCAAGGCGGCTTACCGCACAGAAGTGGCGGGTAACCCCAGTTGTAAGTTGGTTCATCACCCCATTAACCATAGATATCTGTACCATAAACCCTATAGTACTTGAAGTTATGGCTAGGGTTTACATGTGAAATCTGGCTTTATCAATGTTAATTAATTAATAATGTTTACTGTATTATTGGTTTCCCACCTCAAAAAAAGGTGCTAAAGAAAGGTCCCAAAAATGGGTAATCCCAATGTCCACAATGATGGTCGCTTGTAGCTATATTTTTGTATATATATTTAATTATATATATATATATATGTATATATATATATACATTTTGTTTATGTATAAGTACGTTAATTAGGTGACTCTTAATTAATTCACGACAGATGAAATTGAAATTCAAATTGTTGGATCATGATCCCTGGGGCTGTAGAGGTTCAAAAATCGCCATAGCTACAGGGGTCATAGCTTACTATACGCTGGTGAACCGCATCTACAAAGCCAATTGGGATCAAATGGATTTGTCTCAAACTGCTCTAATATATATATATTATATATATATATTCACGTACAATTACGTACATATATCTGTCGAAAACGGCCATGTTCAAATTTCAAAATAAAATGATCTGATCATTGAAATTTTGGTACCCAACGTTCAAATGAATTCAAATGACCTATGCTTTCATCATGCTTCGTCCAACCGCGGCATCACAGCAATCGCCCCACGGCAACACGGCCGGGTCGCCAGGGTCCATTCGAGCTCGCTGCGAAGTTGGTGGCAAAGTCGGCTTCCTGGACGAAGTTTCGTGCACAATGTACACCTGAGAAGTAAAAACATAGTTACAGTAATCATAATGATGAACATGACTGCAACTAAAAATATATAATAATTGTCAATAATAATCATGTTTAACATGTATAATTTCATATAATTTCTATAGTGCCTGTGAATCTATGTTTCTCAGTCATCCCCCTGAGGTCTCAAAACGCCACGGGGCCACAACTCTCCATGCTGAAACCGTGCCTTGTAGACCGAATAAATCATGTTACCTTCAATGTCAAAGAAGAAGATGTCATAATACTTCCTGCAACTGTGCAACTGTGCTTGGCTGTGCAACTATGGGTTTCTTGCCGACCGAGTTTGTTTTGCCACCACGGGAAACTGATGATTAGCCGGGGGATTTAGGGATACCCATGATACCCCATTTTCAGACAAACAAAATTCAGAGCTGCAGCGGAGAACGGAAATGCATGGAAACCAAGTTGGGCAAGAATGGTAGGAACAGCAGGGCTGAAACAATTCGATTTGTTGTTTGATGTTATTTGACCTTTTGCACAAACAACTTTGACTGGATAAAGCAAATGTTGCCCTGAAACAAACAGCAACTCTTCACAAACAAGCAGCCAAAGGTGGACTGGACATTGCTCATGATTGCTGCTCGAGCCTACGGTAGAGCAGGGACCGGTAGATTGGATGCCACTCTTGATGGGCTTGATGATAACCTGCGGTGGTCGGACTGAAGCTTGCTCAAACAAACATCACTTGGATTTCCATGCTGTCCATGTACGGTACAGAACATGTTGCCCACAGTTGGAATTTTCTGATGGTAAATGTGAGATAGATTTAAATATACGCCCCACGCCAACCATGAGGATCTTGCGCAAGGTCAACATGATTCAGAATGCCGCACTTGAGCGCGTGTAGGGGGGCCACTTTTTGGGGCGTCAACATATCTTGGGCAAGAGGCTCAAAGAAAAAACACCGCCCGAGAAGCTAAACATGACAATCGCAAAAGCCAAAGAAGTCGAAAGAAACTATTGTGGAAGCCCAGGAAACTGAAAATGACAATTCAGAAACCCAGGAAGCAAACAAAAACAATACACAAGTTTATAGAGGCTCAAACAGCTAAAAATGAATGAACATGACAAAAAACACAATTTTTGAAGTGTAGCAAACAAGAACCTCCATAAGGTGTGTTGTGGGTTTGCTTTGCTCTCTCCTGCCAGGTTTCTAAACCTATTCACCATCTGGTTGCAACATGACTATGATGACTATAACACATTGTTGGCTGGCAACACGCCTGTTGATAATACACACCCTCTACCCTGCAATTCTTTAACCGGATATATGCTGCACGTATGTGTACATACATATATAAATATATATACATATAGAGGTGTATATATATATACATGAATCTTATGTATCCATTTTATCATGTTGCTAACGATTACGCTGAACTAAGCTATCCATTCAGCTGATTCACCGTTCACCTTCAGTATTGTTGGTTCATCTTAAAGCCAGCATCATCCCACATGTTAGTGTTAAACAAGAAAACAGCTGGTTATGGATCATAACTACAACATACTATGGACTGTAATTCATTGTTGGCCAGCCACCCCCCTTTTCGTTGCTGGCTTTATTACATCTTGAGGCTATCCACTAAACAAGCACAAATACGGAATTCAGTATGAATGCAAATTATTTCCGATCGGGAAATCTTTTAGATTTCTAGAATTTTGCAGCGTACCAGGCTCACCAGCCCAAGGTTTTACAGCCAGGTGTCTTTCACCCCCGTCCACCGTGATCAACGCATCTTTCAGCTCTGTGACGTAGAGCTCTGTTAGAACACCTGGAATTGTCATCTACCGTTTTACCATGGAACACGACCAGATCGACTGGGGCCATAGCGGGGCTGTCCCTGGGGCTGTGTGCTAGAGCCAACAACTGGGAAGTGAGCAATGCACAAATTACCACTCATGGATATGCACGTTGGATTGGAGGTAATATTAGAACTATGATATCAAAATATATCGCAATCTGCAAAGAGATAGAACATGATAGAACCATAGTACCATTGTTTCAGGAACTCTACGCAAAAAAACAAAAGAACAGAAATTTGCACTGATGGCAATGGCCTTGGATGGCCAATGGGTCAACACAAACGAGTGACTCATTCCCAAGGGGGCTTTAAAGTTACCCGTAAAAGGTGCATGATTGGTGCATGATTGGCTATGGTTCATGAAAAAATCACACCATTTGGGGGTACCCTATTGTCAAATCATATCATCCTTCGGTGTTCATTAATCCTTTCCCCCTATTCCTAAACGTCCCCCCAAATACTAAAAACTAGGGTCCATCTCTAATTTCGGAAAATTTCAGATTTGCCAATTTGACTTTTAATTGTTCCCCTTTAGAAAACAAGTTAGAAATAAAGCTGGCATTTGTGTGTTTCGCCCCCTAATAATAAAAACTAGTCAGCCCCAGTGTGTTTATTATTAGGGTCCGTCCGATTTTTTTCATTTTTTATATTAGGGTTTTTAATCTATTATTAGGGCCCGCTTCGAAATCCAACTTTTGGCAATATTTTAATTGCGTTATATAAGGAAATTTGATTGATTTTGAAATTGGAGAAAAAATAGCTATTATTATTAAGGTTTAATTTTGTTAATAGGGTCCGCTTCGACATCCAATTTTTGGCAGCATGCCAATTGCATTATAAAAGGAAATTTAATTGATTTTGAATCGAGCAAACTAGGTTTTATTATTAAGGTCTTAATTTTAATAATAGAGTCCTCTTCGAAATCAAATTTTTGGCAATCTTCTAATTGCATCATATAAGGAAATTTATATAATTGATTTTGAAATCGAACAAATTAGTTTTTTTAAGGGTTTAAATTTATGATTAGGGTCCGCTTCGAAATCCAATTTTTGGCAATATTTTAATTGCGTTATGAGGAAAAGGAAATTTGATTGATTTTGAAATTGGAAAAAATAGTTATTATTGTTATTATAGTTTTAATTTTATTAATAGGGTCCGCTTCGGCATCCAATTTTTGGCAATATGCTAATTGCATTATAAAAGGAAATTTAATTGATCTTGAAATCGGAAAAAATAGTTTTTATTATTAAGGTTTTAAATCTATTAATAGGGTTCCCTAATAATAAATACCACCCTAATAATAAAAACTACCTGAGGTGTTTATTAATGAGGGGGGGTTAGTATTAGGGAAGGGATTACTTGAACTACATCAAACCATAAGCCTGGCATTCTGGCAGAGATTTTGATTTCAGCAGGCCGTGGCTGTCCGCAGTAGTTTCCAAATATATCTGCACATAGTTCTCTCTTCAAGAATTCCGATCCGTAGTATTATTTTGCTAGAAGCCTCATTATGAAGTAAATATTTTTGGCAATTCTTTATTGCATTTGATTGCTATGGTTAGATATTTCAAAAAGCATGTTCAGCGCAAATTTTCCACATCGCTCAATTCGTGGCAATAATCTATATGAATTCAAAAGATATCAGCCACATTTAAGTGGCAAACGTCCCATTCAATATCACAAAACCAACATACTTAGTGGTTGGAACCAGTTAGCCCCAACTTGCAAGTGTATTAAGTCTACCTACCCCACATATAACATCATATAACTGTTTTTTTTCCGGTAGTTTCCCATCTTGTAGGATTCCTGGGATGAGCCACCAACATAGGGATCACTATGTCAACAAACATCTTGGAGGGGACCCACCCAGCACCAAAGTTCCGCCGCCGTGGCACTCCGCGTGGCTTCCGTGCTTTGACGAAAGAGGTCCCAACCTGTCCTGGGCATTTCAGTGTCACCTGTGACCTTTCTCAAATCTGGCGATCTGGCTGTCTTCCTCTAGCAACTTACAACATGAGTGTATATCCTTTTAAAAAGGCAAGTTGGGACAGCACCACCGACTGATTTTGGGTAGTTATTTTTATGTACTGTACAACTTGATGCGCAGTTGTTCAAAAATCAGGCAATGGGGAGTTGCAACATTTTGGAGGGCTAGCTACAAATAAGTCTCATGGTGGATTCACTGGCTGACTTCCACTGCAATGCTTAGATCACATGGTAGAGTCTACAGCTTTGAAGGCAAAAAAACAACAGGTTTTGGACATCCCCATGCTCAGCTTGAATCATACTTTCCCACCCATTGCAAAAAAAATGGTCGTCTGTAAAATCATTGTTAGGGCCATTGGTCTTTATAATTTATATGCCAGGTAGTTTGCGCTTATAATCCAGTATATTTAAAAATTCCACCCAGAAAAACAGAGCAGGTTGAAGGGATGTTGGGTCAGAAAAATGTTTTAATTCATGAAGGTCATCGTTCAAATCATATACAGCAATGAATAAACCAGTACCAAGAATTTATCAAATTCACTACGTATATATATATATCCACAATACCAGATTAATTAAGTAACAACATCCATGCCGTTTATATCCGTTTAAAAAAAAAACACTTTCACCAAATTCCAGCGTCTCTCAGAATCAGAAGATGGAGTTATCGCCTAAATGTTCTAAAATGAACTGTCTGCGGCCTGAACTAATATCAGTCCGCACACCCCGTCTGTATGTTCTGGTTGCATTTTTCCTGCATCCCGTTTATGAAATGACCCTAGAACTGGGCATCTAAGGGAAAAGGCCGAACATTTTATAAGGATCTCAGCACGGGGGATCTTTGGACCACCCAAAATTTCCCACTTGGCCGCGGTCAAGGCACTTCAGCTCTGTGAAGGCCTTCACCTCGGACGCGTACGAATGCGCTTCAAAAATCTTTAAAATGCGTCAATTCAACGCGGAAATGGTTCACACGGTCACGCACGCACACACACAGAATATGTATATGTATATGTATATGTATATCTCTATCTATCTATCTATCTATCTATCTGTCTATATATCTATCTATCTATCTATCTAACTATCTATCTATCTATCTATCTGTCTATATATCTATCTATCTAACTATCTATCTATCTATCTATCGATCTATCTATCTATCTACCTATCTAAAATAATACATATACTTTTTGGTATTGCTCAAGAAACGGGTATGGATCGTTCCGGGGTGATCTAGATGTATGGAAGGAGTGAGTTCAGTACAAGAGGTTTGATCCGGACCTTAAAAAAAGTGGCCTGGCCGAAGGAAGTTTTGAACTCAAACTTCCGACAGTATGAACAGATGGAAAACCTGGGGTGGGAGCAGTCAAAGAAGAGAAAGAGTCAGAAGAAAGAAAATGCAGGTGCGCGAAAAGGTAGAAACGTCGTGAAATACTGTGTGTTTTCCAATGTTTTGTGGCTCCGGAGGAACGAAAAGGCTCGCTAAAGCGGCGGGTGCGGAGCCATCTGGGGAGATGAGAGATGAAAAAGTGCACCCCACTCCACTGTGGCGCAAAGCACATTTGGAAGTCAAAACTACAACAAAAACTCATGTTCGGACCACTTTTGGATGTTGAGCTCTTGAAAAAGTGCATGCCGTTGTGGCGCGAAGCACATTTGGAAGTTGAGATGTCTAAAATGTATGAAAAAGTGCACTCCGCTGTAGCGCGAACTTATTTGGACGTTCACATGTGAAAAACACCCTCACATATGGAGCACTTTTCGAAGTTGAGATGTTGAAAAAGTGCACTCCGTTGTGGCGCGAAGCAGATTTCGAAGTCAATGGTAAAAGCACCACATGTTCGGACCACTTTTGGAAGTTGCGATGTCGAAAAAATGCACGCCGATGTGGCACGAAGCCTATTTCAGAAGTAAGAATGCTAAATACTAAAAACACAATATTTTCAGGCCAATTTTGGGCGTTCAGCCGCGCCACACTGCACTACATCAACAACAAATGCAACAGCTACCGTTACAGCTACAAATACAATTACAACCACCGTTACGCTGCACTAGTACCACTACCACTACATTGCAGCTACAACCGCAACAACTACAACAACTACAACAACTACAGGTACAGGTACAACTACAACTACAGCTACAAGTACACTACACACTGACAACTACAACAGCAACTACAACTGCAACTGCAACTACTCTGCGCACCTGCTATACTACGCTACTCTATTCTACAACTACAACCACACTACACTACAACAACAACTGCTACTACTACAACTTCTACTACTATTACTACTAACTACTACTGCTACTACAACTACTACTATTGAGATCCAAAAAAAAAATATTTTATTGTTTATTTTCTTTTATGTTTTTTTAATGAATATTTATGATTTTTAAGATATGATTTGAAAAATGATGAAAAATGGAAATGATTTTTTATGTGTTTTTTTAAAATGATTTTTATATTTTTTATGTGTTTTTTTAATGATTTTGTTTATGTTTTTTTGTTCTTTGCTATTTTTTCTGTTGTTTTGATTTTTTAATGATTTTTAAATGATGTTTTAAGATTTTTATGTTTTTTTTTCGATTTTATATTTTTTTGTCTTTATGTGTTTTTTATGTTTTTTTTGATTTTTTGGTGTTTTTTTGAAAGATTTTATGTTTTTGAAGATTTGTTTTACATATTTTATGGTGGTTTCAATGATTTGTTGTGTTATTATGTTTTTTTAAATGATTTTTTGTTATTATGATTCTTTTTTATGTTATTATGTTTTTGTGATTTGTTTGATGTGTTTTTGTTTATAACTTTTAAGTTTTTTAAATGATTTTTTGTGTTATTATGTTCTTCACTATTGGGATGCTACGCCAGGATAAGGCTAGTTTCTTTTCTCGGTTTTCACTTCTTTGCTGCCAGCTGCCCGCTAAGTCACCAAGGTCTCAAGCCTGGGGCCTAAAGCCTGGAGCTTAAGGAGCCTCAAGCCTGAAGCCTAAGGCCTCAGGTCCGAGATTCTAGAGCTTGAAGAGCCTAAGGCCTCAGGTCCGAGATTCTACGGTGCGAGATTCTAGGGCCTCAAGCTTGGAGCCGGAGGCCTCAGGTCCGAGATTCTAGAGCCTCAAGCCTGGATTCTAAGGCCTCAGGTCCGAGATTCTAGAGCCTCAAGCCTGGAGCCTAAGGCCTCAGATCCGAGATTCTAGAGCCTCAAGCAGCCTAAGGCCCAAGGCCTCAGGTCCGAGATTCTAGAGCCTCAAGCCTGGAGCCCAAGGCCTCAGGTCGGAGATTCTAAAGCCTCAAGCCTGGAGCCTGGGACGTTGCTTTCCTGAACCAATCCTTAAAAAACACATTTAAAAAAAACATATAAAAAATCATTAAAAAAACATCACAAAAACACATTAAAAAAATCATTAAAAAACAAAAAAAACTTAAAAAAAACATAATGAACTTTTATGGCCCCTTAAGAGCCCATCTACAGGGTGCCACCCTGCCCCCGGAGCTCCTTAGAGTTTAGGGTTTAGGGATTAGGGTTTTGGATCCTTGCTGCTGGCCTGAAATCTGTGAACCCTAAAGGTAGTGAATGTAGTGAAGTGTTTCAATACTGCCTTTCCCTGCTTGGCCTAAACATTTTTCCTTCCCAGGTTTTTCATCCTACAGCATAGCTGTAGTCAGCTGCCCCTTTACAGCAAGCCCGATAGTTGCTCAACAAATTTTGTCATACCATTTTTTTCTTAAGTTTACTGCTGCTAGCTAGCTGTTAGTTGCTAGCTGCTAGTTGCTGCTGGTTGCTAGCTGCTTGCTAGCTAAGCTACTCGCAGCTAGTCACTGGTTGTCGTTAGTTGCTAGCTGCTAATTATTTGCTGCTAGCAACTGGATGCAAGTTACTTGCTGGCCACTAGCCCCAGAAAAAAAATGTGACACTGTTTGTTGACCAACTAGCCCCAACATTGGCATCGCCCTGCCCCCCCCCCACACACACACACACCCCACATAGTCTGTTTTTTGTTCGTAAGTCATCACTGACACCTCACTGCCTGCCATCATGCAGCAGTTGGTGCAGTTGGAGATGTCTGCAAAATTTGCTGTTCAATTCGTTTTTCGCTCACCACTGATCAAAAAACCACCAATCCTAAAAGCAACGCCAAAATAAATAAATGCAAAGTCGCTGTTTGTTCAATGTTCTCCATGTGTTAACATTTCTGTGTTATAGATGTTGTTAATCATCACAATCATGAAAAAAATGAAAAACATAAAACACAAATCATAAAAACAATAATAATTTTAATTAAACAAACATAAAACACAAAAAACATTAAAAAAAAATCATTAAAAAATCATATTTTCATAAAACTGATATTTTTTCATAAAAAATCACAAATTTATTTAAAAAAACATCAATTTCAAACAAATATATTTAAAAACAAAATCAAAAAACAAAAAAAAAAACATTAAAAACATCATTACAAAAACGAAAAGACACAAACAAAAAAACAAATCATAAAAAATCATAAACTGTTTTCAGGCAAAAAAACAAATCATAAATTTCATCTTAAAAAATCAGAGTTTTTCATTTAAAAAAAAAAATAGTTTTTATAAAACAAATTCATTTTAAAAATGAATTTTCTAGCTTTCTTTTGGATCTCAATACTACTACTACTACTCCTGCTACTCCTACTCCTACTCCTACTACTATGACTACTACTACTACTACTACTACTACTACACTACTACTACTACTACTACTACTACTACTACTACTACTACTACTACTACTACTACTACTACTACTACTACTACTACTACTACTATACTACTACTATACTACTACTATACTACTACTATACTGCTACTATACTACTACTATACTACTACTATACTACTACAACTACAACTACAACTACAACTAAACCTACTACTACAACAACTACTACAACTACAACAACAACTACAACATCAACTACAACAACTACTACTACTACTGCTGCTACTACAGCAACAACAACAACAACAACAACTAAAACTACGACTACTACTAGTAGTAGTACTACTACTATACTACTACTATACTACTACTATACTACTACTATACTACTACTATACTACTACTATACAATTACTTTACTACTACTACTACTTCTACTACTACTACTTCTACTACTTTCAATACTACTACTACTACTACTCCTCCTCCTCCTCCTGCTGCTGCTGCTGCTGCTTGTGGGTGAGGTGACCACTGCAACCATTCAGTCCATCGGGGCGGTCATATATATATATGAGAGAGCATTCATTCATATTCATTCCAAAGTTCGTTGCCTCTAAAACAACTGCAAGATGATATTCCAAGCTCATTCTCGGGTCTGTCTTCCAACCGACATCGGCCAAGCCGCGAATTGGAAGCTTCCAGCTGTCTCGGACACCCACTGCCTATGCCAGGCTGGAAGCGTTAACCAATGGGATTCGTGTAAACCCAAATATGCCGGGTCATCCCCTACTAATCGTTGGTTTCTGGGGCGTTTATTGTTAGAAGGATGGGTGATATGAGAGGATTAATTAGATATTCATTTGAAAACGAGCAAAGAATGTGGGGTCACTGAAAAATGGAGGGGCCAACCATCAAAGCACGATCCTGAACCATCATAAACCATCCGCAGGCTGTATTAAATGCCGGGTTCAGCAACAGAAATGCTCAGAACAACAATTAAAAGCAATCGAAACAAACAAAACCATACAAAATTCATGTCAAAATCAACCAAGCGTGGCTGGGCTTAGCAACTGACTGGCTTGGGACCAGCCACCAAGGACCAGCCACCAAGGACCATCATAAATCATCCTCTCAAGTTGACTCAATCCCCCCCTGTGCACCATTTTAGACACCAAAAAAGGTATCTAAAATGGAATCTTCAAGGGGGGTCTTAGAACTTTTTTTTTGGGCAGCTATTTTGTTTTTGGGTTCTAAAATTGGTTCCTAAATGATATCTTTCACTCTTAAACAAATTTAAAAAACAGTTAAAAAAACAATTGTTGAATTTGAAACCATGGCATTTCAGAAAAAAACGATGTGGAAATCTGCACCCCAAAAAATAGATCGGCATGAGGCCGATTAAAGAAAAACATTGCAAAGAGCACTCCATGATCTCCATAGCATTTTTCAGCGGGTGGCGGCCACAGATGGTCTTGTCATTTCCTACCTACGAAGCCAGGTTTTTGCCTGCAATCCTTGCATTCTTTGTTGCCAAACCATTAAAGTATACCCCAACACAAATGCCTCCAGAATGTTCCCTAAGTCACCCTTTTCAAATGAATTTAGTTTTGGGCTAGTTCCATTTCCCGTGCGACTGTTTAATTTTATCCAGACATGTCCAACCAATTAAATTTTCAATAAAACAGCAAACTCCTATATGCAGTTATGTCAAAACAACAGCGTTTTTGCGTCACAGGAGAAAAACAAGGAACAAATCATCACATGTGGAATCAGCAAGCAGCCGTATGTGGGACTACAGCCGTCGCAGTTGTCACTTGCCTACCTTCATCAGGATGGAGATCCTAAGTGGAGGCTCACCACTGACTGGACACTTGTTCTTTTGGGATATTTGGGGGGGGGGCTGGGCAGCTATGGCATAGAGATGCCACCCTAGACAATGCACCTTGATGCTGTATCTTTGGGAAGGGTTCTGGAATGGTTTCCTGCTTGGCCAAACGTGTGAGGTACCAGCTACTACAAGGAGAAACAATTTTAGACCATTTGATTTGTATGCTTAGATAACGTAGATATGTTCATTTGTTGCACAGGCATTGGCCTTCTTGTGCAAGAACAAAAGATGGCAGAACTAGTTTTAGCTGACTTGATTATCCCTGAAATTCATTTTTCTGTCACTGCAGCTGTTCACAGTTGAGGATTTAATATCTACCTACCAATTTGCCGCTCACTTCACCTATTGGGCCCTCTCTTTCAGAGATACTGAGCTAGACAACATTTGACCCACTCCTTTTCGGAATCAAATCAAAAAAACAACCCAAACGCATGCAAATTCCCAGCAAATGCACGTACATATCCGACGCGGGATTTTATAGCCTCTTGTGACACAGCATGCAAGAGCCACCTTATGTGTGCCTCAAGTGACGGCAAAAGCAGCAAACATGCAAAAAATGAATTTCAACAAAAAACATACATTTTTGCGGTGAATGCAAAGGTAAAGGTACAGCTAACCACTTCAAAACTGAGCTGAACCCAGAAGTTCCCCCAGCCAGAAATGTTCTCACAAGAGATCAAGAATAAACAAACTGAACTGAACTGTGAATGTGTCAATTTTTCTACCGTGTATCTGTATATTGTCCTTTTTTGTGCCAAATGGCATTGGTTCGGCCATATTGTTGCGACATAGTGCAATCGAGCCTTGTAAATTATCACGAACCATGGTTTCAATAGAAGGATCAAACTGGCAAATCGCCTTCAACCACCGGCTCACTAGGGATCACAAATACCTGCACAAAACCTGCACCATACACCATCATATAGTATTATACAAACTTCCAAAGTTCTTCAACGCTTGCGCGACCGGAAGTGCTACAATGATTTTTGTCCATTTTAGAACCCCATTTGGTCATCCCCAGGGGGGTCCCATTCTAGAATTTTCCAACTTGAGGGTATTATAAATCAGGATATTTTGACCTGGTTCAGCCATAAACCTGATGTCATGTTTAAGTTCAGTGGCTTAGGTTGGAGGCTTAGGCTCCTGGGAACCTGAACCTGGATCACAATCTATTGAGGTGGACTTTGAACTTGGGGATGTTTCATTGGAACGGTGGGATAAGGCCAGGGAATTGCAGATCCAACACCCAAGTCCCGATGTCACTTGCGGCCTCTGTGCCGAGGTAGAAAGGTCTGACTTCTTCCACCATTCAGACCTGCAAATCCCCGGTTTTGCTTGGCAATCCCGGTTTCGGCTGGTCAAATTAAAATGTTATTTCCGGTTTTCTGGTCCATAGCAGTGGTATTGTATAAATAAATGTGTATATGCAAATGTACATATATATATATAATTATGTATATAAATATACTGAGTAACTGTGTGTATATATATGTGTGTTATATATATATAAATATGTATGTGTGTGTGTGCGTGCATGTGTATGTGGACGAAAGTGAATGTATATATATATATATATACATTGTTCTACATGTTTTGTGCAAAAAATGTGTGTATATATATATATGTGCTATATTATTATTATTATCATTATTTTATAATTATTATGATCATTGTTAATTATTATTATTATATTATTATTACCAGTAGTACCGCACAAGGCGGTGGCCGAAGCTTCAAAGATAGGAAAATATAAGAAAGGTGAGTTGCTGTGATGCATGGATGGCACAGCGAATCCACTGATGGACCGAAAAGTGGCTTTGTTTTTGGAGTGGTTGCAGTGGTCACCTCACCCACTTCTGCAAGATGTAGTGTGGTGTAGCGAAGTGCAGTGTAAGTGTAGTTGTAGTTGCATGCGTAGTTGTAGTTGTAATGTAGTTGTAGTCCTAGTTTGTAGTCGTAGTTGTAGTGTAGTTGTAGGTGCAGTTGTAGTTGCGGTTGCAGTTGTAGTGTAGTTGTTGAAGTGTAGTTGAAGTTGAAGTTGCAGTTGTAGTTGTAGTCTAGTGTGGTGTATTGGTAGTTGCTGTTGTAGTTGCAGCTGTTGTAGTTGAAGTGCTGTTGCAGTTGTAGTTATAGTTGTAGTCTAGTTTGGTGTATTGGCGGTTGTTGTTGTAGTTGTAGTCGTTGTAGTTGTTGTAGCTGAAGTGTAGTTGAAGTTGTAGTTGTAGGCGCACTTGCGGTTGTAGTGTAGCTGTAGTAGTCGCAGTTGCGGTTGCAGTTGCAGTTGTAGTTGAAGTGTAGTTGAAGTTGTTGTAGCTGTAGTGTAGTTGTATTGGTAGTTGTAGTTCTAGCGTGGTGTAATTGCAGTTGCCTATCTATCTGTCTATCTAATACCTGTTTATCTATCTGTCTGTCTGTCTGTCTGTCTGTCTGTCTCTCTAGCCATCTTTCTGTCTATCTATCCAACTATCTATCTATCTATCTATCTAACTATCTATCTATCCATCTATCTATCTGCAAGCTTGAAAACGAAGCATTCTGCGTGACATCCTCAATCTTCGAACTTGGCAACACCAAAAACGCAGCAACTCTGCGCGACTTCCTCAATTTTGGAACTTGACAACATCAAAAACGAAGCAATTCTGCGACGTTTTCCTCAGCTGTCCAAGTTGACAACATCAAAAACGAAGCAATTCTAAGAGACTTCCTTTAAAAAAATGGAAAGCCGAGTGCAGAGCTGACGGCCTCGTGCCGATGCGTCTTGTGAATTTTCCATTCCATCTGTCTAAAGTACTGCACCTGGCACGAAAAAGTGATGTCAAGTCATACGAAGTGCTGCACCTGTCACGCAAAATCATCTTAGCAAACTCGAAGATCTGATGCTCCAAAATGCAACCCCTCTCAGGAAATCAGCGCCCTGACCTCCTAACATCTCTGATGAGCATGTCTCTTGCACTGCGCCTGCCAAGCGAAAGACATCTTGCCAGATCTTCTGCATATGTCCCACGCCTGCCATCGTTTTAGGACATGCTACAAAACCCTCACGTTTTGCTCACTTTTGACAAGGTGCATAATCCCTTGCACCTGCCACGCAAAACGACATCTGAACACTTTTGACTTTGAAATGTGCTTCGCGCCACAACGGCGTGCACTTTTTGAACATCTCAACTTCCAAAAGTGCTCCGAAGCTGGTGTGCTTTGTACATTTTGACTTGGAAATGCGCTTCGCGTGCACTTTTTCGACATCTCAACTTCCAAAAGTGCTCCGAGAGCGTCAGGTTTTCACACTTTTGACTTGAAAATGTGCTTCACGCCACAACGGCGTGGACTTTTTCGACGTCTCAACTTCCAAAAGTGCTCCGAGACCGTTAGTTTTTAACACTTTTTGATTTGAAAATGTGCTTCGCGCCACAGTGGCGTGCAAGAGCCTACTTTTCGACCCTCCAGAGCCCCAAGACATTGAAAAAACACATGTTTCGCAACTTTTCTACCTTTCCGCGCACCTGCATCTTCTTTCTTCTGACTCTTTCTCTTCTCTGCATGATCTTCTTGCTTCTTCTCTGACTCTTGCCACCTCTGCTTTTTCACTTGTCCAGAGTCCATATTGTCGGAAGTTTGACTTCTAAACTTCCTTCGATTATATAATTAATTGAATACTAAATGAAATATGAAAGAAATACATACAACTATATATATATATATATATATGGTCCCGGCCGGCGGCCGGCAACCTCCTCCCCCCCATGGTATCCCCACCTCATACCCCCACATGCTGGTGACCTGGCCATATAAGATCATCATCGAACAACCGTCAAAATCTCATATGCTATACATACGTGCTAGCCACGTACTACCCACTGTAACACCCTTCATCAATCAATTTACATTTTGCAACCTATTACTGCCCATACAGTACCTTTGCAGTAGCCATATACTAGTATCTGTCAAGATCTCATATGCTATACATACGTGCTGGCCGCGTACTACGTATGCACTACCTACATGATACCTGCAGGGTTCACTACCTGTACGCCCATACAATCTATTTACAACCTATTACTGCCCATATAGTACGTTTATAGTAGCCACGTATTAGCTACTATCAGAATCTCATATGCTATACATACGTGCCAGCCACGTAGTACTACTACCTACTGTATACACTATCTCCATGATACCTCTATAATACAGTAAGCTACACCCTACATCAATCTGTTTACATTTTACAACCTTTTACTGCTCATACATACTGGCAACTGTCAAGATCTCCTATGCTATACACCTATACACTATCTACATGGTACCTCTATAACACCCCACTGGGCGTGGAGCATGCTAGCCACATATTACTCACTTTTTGCCTGACATGCTAGTAACACACAATCTAGACTCCTCCCATCCCACAGGGGGGATGGGGTGTGTAAACTATATCCTATATTTAGAGCCTCCTACATGCAGCCTGCATAAGAACCATGACCATGGCGTGGGGGCGTAGGGGGAAGTGGGGGGGTGCTGGCCTGGGCCATACATACAATATACGTTGTGTGTGTGCGCATGGAAATATGCACATACCCATTGTCAAATCTTCTGGTGGGTTCTGGTGCTGTGCAGTGGTCACCGCTTTTTTTTCCCATTATGGATCCCGGCAGCCGGGTCCCAAACAAGACAAGAACATAAATACATTTAATATAGTATATATAGATATGTATATACATCTGTATACACATACACACACACATATATATATATATATATTCATGTATGTATATATATATATATATATATTCATGTATGTATATATATATATATATTCACATATATATATATATGTGTGTGTATTGTACATATATATATATATATATGTAATTATTTGTGTGTTTATATATAGTAAACTGAAGGAACCGATCAATGAATTCACACATAACATTGAATCAATAGATTAAGCATCAATCAATGAAGAGATGTAAATCAAACCAGTGAGATTGAAACAAACCATCTATATAATATAAAATAAATTATATCAACATAGAACAAGTAAATATATACACCCTCCGGCAATCAAACATGGCAATGGAAAATCACCAATCTATAGATAATGTTTCCATTTAAATAGATACCAATTTGTAGAAAGGGTTCCACGTGTCATGTTTGCCAGAGGGAACAGGTAGATACACATATTATCACATAGCAAATCCTGAGAACTGCATTCCCTCCCATGCTCCCACCTCTGCACCCCGAAGGAGATCCACGTCAGACCGCTGTGGAGCCTGCTGAATCACCAGATTTTTCCAGGGAATTGGTTGATCCCATAGGCTACCCTGAAATGAACCCCACCAAAAAAACAAGTTACTTGGTTGAGTGGGTATACCAACCAAAATCAAGCAAACAAATGGGAGAAAACTCAAGGAAAAAAAAGGATTTACTTTGATATACTAACGCACTTTGAGATTTACACAGCGAGGATCACCATGGGAATTGAACCAATTTACGCAATAGTAAAATAATCAACAACCACCCCTCTGAAAAATGATCGGTCAATTTAATTTCAAATTGGGACGGTCATCCCAACTACTGCTGACATGGTAAACAAAATGCAGCAACCAAATGCGACAAATAGAAAACTTACATAATTAGTAGGCAAAGGCCCCAACACTCCCATATAAATAAATAAATAAATAAATAAGTAAATATTATTAGTATATAATTACAGAGTACAGCTACAAAGATTGAGATGTGACACCAGTCCAAGACTTAAGCATGCCGTGAGCTCAATGAAACGATGATCTCTGGCATTCTATTGGTGAAACAATCGCCATTTGTCTTGGTTCAAACCCAAGAGTTGCCGAAAAACTCATGGTTTCTGTCTCGTGAATTGTCCTTTCAACGCATTAATCATATGGGTTTTGTCAAATACAGGGCGTCCCTCAAGTCAGAAGGTTTCGACATCATTAAATAAAGGAGTCATCCGTTGTGATCGCATCAGCCATGCCCAGCCCACTTATCACTATGCATGGGCCAGCCTGGCCGTGATCGACGCGCAAATCAGGGTTCGGAAGAAGGTTTCGTCGCCTACTACTAGGACCACACGCTGCTCCCCTGGCCGCGTTTTCTTGGATTTTAGGCCATGGGGATATCTTGGGGATATCATGGGATATCGTCAAAATAAGATGTGTTTTTCCAGAAATTGGGATTTACATGCATGTACCCCCTTGTTGCGGCAGATAAGCCTGGCAAAACATTGGTAACACGATGACAACGCATGGTACTTTAGGGGTGTCCATGTCCGGCTTTTCCCAGCGTTTCAAATCTGACTATACTGAGCACCATCATTCATGGTGAGTTTGAAATTGTATCTTCGGAAGGCTTTTGGAACCACAGCAGGAAAGATAGGTAAACATTGCAACGTTCCAAAATTGCTGCATTTTCTGTGCTCTCGCCTGTGGTTTGCTCCTTGATGCCGCTCATCAAATTCCTCACGATTTTTTTGTATGGTTCTGATCAAAGGAAATACTGCCCCGCCAGAATGATATTCGAATAGAACTTATCTCAGGCCAACTTTTCAACAAAGAGGGTGACTTAAAAACACAATCTACCACCGGAACATCTGGAACCCATAAAGGCCTTTTTTTGCTATCACATGGCTGCTGAGGTGGGTCAAGTGGCTCAGGGTTTCGCCGAGTTTCTGAATGTCTTCAAAACGTTTATCTGAAGCTGGGCTCAAAGAAGTTGGTCGAATGCCAACGTTCTGCAAAATTTCCACCTCGGAACATCTGAATGCTAACTTCTAACATCTTCTAACTATTGTAATACTATTGTTGCGTTGTTCCCAAGTCGACTGCATGGAATGCCCAGTGGCCTAGGGCCTAGTTCTCGCTGCCACGAGTCCCCGCTCTCACCAGTCAGCTATGATACGCTGTCCAAACATGACCACAAGCATCCACAAGCATCCGCAAGTACACAAGGTTACACAAGTACCTTCCGTCCAATGAAGATAGTCCCTGCCATTCAAACAAAACAAACATATACGTATATGATCGTATATGAAACACATACAAGAACATACAAAACATACCTTGACCAAGCATTGGTTATTCAGCAAATATATTGCCAAGGCCCTGCAAATCCTGCAGGCGGCCATCCCCACATATATCCAGGTGGCATAGCGTTCGGCCTCTGCTGAGTAGGAACTATCGCCTCAAAAAAACGGTGCGCTCAACCAGTCTAAAGATTTGACACGCCAAAGTTGTGGTTTGTTTAACCCGCGCAAATGGTTGAAAACCCCCAAATACTGTGGCTCACAGTAACCGACTAAAAGAATGATTTACTCACACAAATACAAGATCTAACCCACACCAATGTAGTTTTCCAAGGAAATACGGACCTAACCCACAAAAATTGTGAATGTTAGGCACGAAATGCAGATTGAACATGATTGAAAAACACGCATTCTGGAACCCGCAATAATATGGATTTAATTTAGCCTACAAAACATGTAGTTAACCCACAAGGGCCGTGGCTTAACAAACCAAAATTTGATTTCACACACACCATGTGATTTAGCCATCAAAAATGTCGATTTAACCCAGGAAAGTTGTAGACTTAATCCACAAAACAGGTGGATTTAATCCAGAAAGTTCATTTGACCCAGAAAAGTTGATTTAATCCACCAAAGATATAGTATTAGGCTACAAGGATTGTCCCACAAATTGCGAAAAACATGGGTAGAACCAAATCAATGCGGTTTAACTCGCAACAAGTACGGGTCTAGCAACAATGGGATTTAGCAGTGTTGCGACAACTTTCAGTCATCCCCACTCCTGCTAGTTTGTTGGGATCTGATTGCGATAACATCTGGATGTCTAAAACCAGCGAGTAAAAGGCCATAGAACCATCAACCATCAGGGAACATTGTTCAGTTAGGGCCCTGGGAGGCAATGGCTGCTTCATCAACAAACATGACAAACAGTACAGGATATGTTTACTGATGCATGTGTTTGCTGATGTAATTTGAAGGAAAAACAACGGGAAACGTCGGGAAACCATGGTTTTAGGATCCAAATACATATTATATTACATATATATATATATTATATTTGAATAGGGAAAATGTCAAGGATGGTCTGTCATTCCAAACACGGATGGTACAAGCACCTTTTGGCACCAACTATATATATAATTAGTTTGGGGGCAAAGTCTATCAATAATCAATGTAAGATGGTTTCCCAACACGTCTTTCTCCCGAGCAAACGGTATCATTTGGTGGCTGGCCACTACTTCTGTATGTGCAAACCTGTTTAGTCTTCTCTTATTTTGGCTGGCTAAATCATGCTAAGTCCCTAATCTGCGATTGTTTTCATAGCCCCAGCTGCAACAGTGTGCTTCTGACGGTTGAAGCCAATACTGATTCTCTAGGTTCTATGCCGGACTTTTGCAAGTTACCTGCATTGGTACTTCTTTAAACTGTAAAAATCGTTAAACCACATCGCATCATGTTGGCTACACCACAAGTGCTAATGGAAAACCATCTTGCAAGCGACCATTGTCCACTTTGGTGTCTGGGTAACCAAACCAACCTTCGTGGCCTTTCTGCACCAACTCATGGTTGCTTGCTAAACCATCGCTTCAACATCTGCCTAACATGGCCGCGTAAATGTTGGAGTTCCCTCAAGATCCTCAACTAATCGCTCATTATTAGAGGACACTATTCTCAGAGTGTTTGACCGTTAATTTGAGAATCAAAATCCTATTTTCCGCGCTCAAGTCCAGCCGAGAGTCAAGAGATCACAAAGATATGGCTCCACGCATGCCTCACCTGCCGGTGCTTTGTAGTTTGAATACGTTTCGTCATGGTCCAATGACTTGGATGATTTGGGATTTTGGGGCACACCCATTTACGAAACCTCTATGTGTATTTGCCATTTACCAAAAAAAGGAAATCCCGTTCTCTCCCTATACACATAGACAACGCACATCTTTTTAATGACGTACATATATTCGCATGTATATAAATAATAAATACACACATTTATAATATATATATATATATGTAAAGTTAATAATAGTTTTAAGATATAATAAGCATCATCATGAATCATAATAGTAAGAATAATGAATAATATAATGATAATAAAAGAACTTAATAATAATGTTGGCATGTGTGCACATGCAAAATCATCTATTTATATACAGTATACTCATATATATATATATATATATACCCTCGGGGCCCCAGGTTTCCGCAAGGGGTGGGGTGGGGCGGGGCATGTTAACGTCATGTTCATGTTACGTTGATGCTACGTTGATGGGAGGGGTGGGGTGGGGTGGGGCATGTTAACGTCATGTTCATGTTACGTTGATGCTACGTTGATGGGAGGGGTGGGGTGGGGTGGGGCATGTTAACGTCATGTTCATGTGTTGTTGATGCTACGTTGATGGGAGGGGTGGGGTGGGGCATGTTAGCGTCATGTTCATGTTACGTTGATGCTACGTTGATGGGTGGGGTGGGGTGGGGTGGCGGCATGTTAGCGTCACGTTCATGTTACGTTGATGCTACGTTGATTGGGGTGGGTGGGGCATGTTGCGTCATGTTCATGTTACTGTTGCTACCTTGATGGAGGGGTGGGGTGGGGCATGGTGGGGTGGGGCATGTTAGCGTCATGTTCATGTTACGTTGATGCTACGTTGATGGGAGGGGTGGGGTGGGGCATGTTAGCGTCATGTTCATGTTACGTTGCTGCCTTGAAAAAAATCAGGGAACTGCCTATGTCAAGCTTGCAGCCCGCCAGCAAGGTTTGGGATCAAGCCCGTGGAAACCTTGAAAAAGAAAATGTTGCAGCAGGGTGATGAAGTTGAAACAACAACGAGCAAAAAAGGGCTGACTATCAACATGTGCCGTTTCATGCTAACATTAAAATTCACTGCAAATACCAATGAAAAAGACACCTCTTCATATTACGCCACGAGCCGCAGTAAAAAATGACAATTCCGGATAACATAATCAAAGAAATCCATGAAGAGTGGTATTTCGTGTGGGAAAACATGAAAATCAGAATTGACATGTACTGTGGATAACATGTCATAACATGCAACTTGCGCGGGCCTAAAAATTTAGGTCCGTACAATTGTCATTAAATAATGAAGAAGAAAAATGTGCAAAATCCGCATTTCGCTGTGAAGAAACAATGATTTTTGACATTTGGATCAATGATAAGCAAGACAATCTGCGGAAACCTAGGGCCCCAAGCGTATATATATATATATACATATGACTGTATATGAACAGCGGCCAAAGCTTATATAACTACTTGCTCATTCTCATGCCATGCACTAATTAGGGTCGTCCCCTATCGGTAGTGAGGATTTCTGCGTTCTCAGACTTTGAGGTGACTCATGCAAAACTAGGGGTATCTGTATAGGGTCGTCCCCTATCGGTAGTGAGCAAGGCCAAGGCGAAGCAAAACTAAATTAGTTACAACAATTTTGTCAGTTACTCAGTATGGATATGTATACATCATACATGCACAGGAGCAGAAAACTGTATACGTCATTTTGATATCGTAGATTTTTTTTGCGAATCTGAAACTTTACTATTCCCAACTTCACATAACTTCACATTAGTTTCGGCCCACAAAAAAAGTATGTACCAATATGATCAGATAAACTTCCCAACAGAAATCATGCCTTCAACTCGCTCATGATCTGTGGCAAGTGTGGTTCCAGCACAGTTCCAAGACGAGCAAGCTGAGGATGGACGGCTACGTTGGAGAAGTCAGGAGTTGGGCAATAGAAGCTCAGGAATGGCAGCCTCAAGGGTCTCGAGGGTTCAGGGACCCCAGGCCGCCACACGGCTGATCACATATATCAACCTCCCAGTTTCAAAGATATGCACATCTGATTCATGTGGTAAACCCACGTAAGCTCATGTAAAACCCATGTAAACCCAACGTCTTATTCAATTCATTACAGCCATCTCTTTGTCAAAACCTTGAAATGGTAGCAGCTGGTAGATTGAGGTATGGCTGATATTTTCTGAGATTCCATGCCATGTCTTGCAGTCTCCCCAGCTGATCACCGTTTCAACGTTATCACGGAGTTACCTTCGGTTAACAACTGATTAACTAGAAACAACTGGGACCAGTGAACAGTTCAAGCCATGGATAAGGATGCTGTCACCGCACCAGCCGAGGAACTTCAGAGATGCCGAAAGCGTTGCAACTTGTCTGCACACTTCGTTGCATCCCATACCAGCCAGCCTGAAGGAGCCAGCCGGTCTGGACTCGGCTAAATACTTGGGGGTGCCGGACTGGGGTAAAAAATAACCATTGGATTTATCGATGAAAACCCAAAATTGATTTGGATGGAAAAATATGATGGGGATGATGTGATTATTAAGGTCATAACCATGGTCAACCTCCATCTGTTGGGATCTGGGGCCACCTAGTTCACTGGAACTGCACCGGCCAATCTCGCTGCTTAGATGCCCACAAATGAGCTGGAGATGCTGCAGTTGTGGGATGTGGATGTGATATAATGTTGCATTCTGATTTATTAGTAGCTAGGTTCGCTATTGTGACTTAAAAAAACGAACCCATGTAATGTAATGTTTGGAAGTTTTACTATGTGGCAAGAATTCTTGGGAGACCATTTTCTTTTGAAACAAATCAACGTGTGCGGAGGCACCACACTTCTTTTTTCCCCACCTGCCAGGTGAGGGTTGTTAGATTTTATCAGAGTTGTTCTTCTCCTCCTCCTTCCTCCTCCTTCCTCCTCCTTCTCCTCCTCCGCATCCTCCTCCTCTTCTACCACCCCTGCCTCCACTTCCACGTCCACAATTGCCTTGCCAACTCTTGGCCAAGCTCTTCGCCAACTTCGGAGCTCAGTGCGCGCTGCTGGACCTCAACCTGGGACCTTCCTAGCTCAGTGCGCACCGCTGGACCTCAACCTGGGACCTGCCGAGCTCAGTGCGCACCGCTGGACCTCAACCTGGGGCCTTCCGAGCTCAGTGCGCACCGCTGGACCTCAAAAGCCAGATAGAATGCCAGAAGATATGCCAGATAGAATGTCAGATAGAATGCGAGAAGATATGCCAGATAAAATGCCATAAGATATGCCAGATAGAGTGCCAGGAGATATGCCAGATAGAATGTTAGAAGATATGCCAGATAGAATGCCAGAAGGTATGCCAGATAGAATGCCAGATAAAATGTCAGATAGAATGCCAGAAGATATTCCAGATAAAGTGCCAGAATGTTTGCCAGATAGAATGCCAGAAGATTTGAGTAGATAATATGCCAGAAGATATGCCAAATAGAATGCCAGAAGATATGCCAGATAGAATGCCAGAAGATATGTCAGATAGAATGCCAGAAAATTTGCCAGTAACAAAATGTATACATGTCATGGTGGGGATCACACGAAGTAAAGTAATTTTGAAAAACGCTGTGGCTCAGTCAACCTTGTGCTCAGGTTTGCTAAGCTTTCAAAAAGTCTCAAGACCACACAGACCACAAGTACTGCACATACTACAGTACCAGTGCCAGTACTATAAGTACTGCCCAAAAAATATGTTTTAATTACAGTAGATTTCAATTGTCGCCAATTGAAATCCTTACTAAAATGTAGGATCGCATTTTTTCTGTGGAGCAGTTTTTGAAACCAAACTTTCATGATTCAAGAGGGTATAGTATTTGTTTGGGGGGGACAGACAAATCAGGACGGAACATTATTTGATCACCAGTTTTGAGGCTCGAAAATGCCTCAAAAAGATCAACAAAACTATATTATATATATAAGAATCATTGATCATGAAGTCGCCGAACAAGTCGGAACAGTCAACCATTTCACGAGTGCTTCACCAAGCACCGCCGAGGAGCGCCACGTACGTGTCTCTCGCCGTGTTGGCCGAGACAACGACGTCGGCGCCTTTTCCACCGTCACCTCAACGCGCAGTGTTTTGGCGCGTTTGGGACAGATGTGGCAAGGTCACAGGGGCTCCTTGGACGGGATATATTAAATACACAATTACATAATATATCATTATATATATAAATATTTAGATATAGAAATATATAGACATACAGACATACAGCATACAGAATATAGTCCGAGAATTCGGGAGTGCATGACTTCACCTCTGTTCGAAAGTATTCTGACAGGGTTCACCTTTTGAGATCCATCCTGTGTCACAAAGAGGGCCACTTGGGTCTAAGACCACGAGCCCTTGCAAATGGTGTTTCCACACGTTTATCTTTTTTTGTCTTATATATCGTTTTCCCAAGCGCTGGCTTCACACCTTGATCATAGAATTCATGTCAGCTTACAACCGGCAGATTTACATGTGTTTTTCAGGAAAATCTCGTATCTGCAATTGGAATGATGCCATGGCATGTGCAAGGCATACAGTGTCTTTGCAGGGATCGACGTGGAATCTAATCATGGCATTGAATTTACAAAAAAAATGCTCAAGAGCAATGGCTCATGTTAGGAACACCCAATACAAGACAAACATCGGCAAAAGTGGGCAGTCTCTCACACGGATCAATTTTTCATGCCAAAAGTTATCGTTGTTGTTCTCATTATGTTATCGTTTGTGAATCCTGGTAATTCGGACGTAAAGCAGCTGCAAGTGTCACCGCCATACCTAAATATCTTGCCGCGCTCAAGCTTGGAACGGATATTCCAAGCACGCATCGCACAAGGCACGGCTTTGAAAACCTCTTGAACATTCGATTTCAAGAGTCTGGGCACAAATCATTCACATAAGCAACGTTATCGGTTCTTTTTATTTTTTTCCTCGTATCGCTTTTTCCGACAGCTGAACATGGCTCATGGTTGATCGTGGTCTCCTTGGACGGTCTGCGGAGTTGCAACTCAAGTCACACTCATCATCCATAATGTCGTGTTTCAACTCGTAACCGGGTAAGATTAGCCTGTGGGCTGCAGGAATTCTCCGGTTTGTGTGGTTTTATCATCAGCACAGAGGGTTTAAAGTTTAACCATGAACGCATTTGGATTTAATCATTGTTCATCAAACGTGAGGGCTTAACATTAGGTTAGCCATCGAACAGTTGCCTGGCACACTTGTGACTGGTGGCGAAACGGAGGGCCAAAGTCCGTCCAAAGCCCAAAGCAATTCCCAACCCCAAAACAAATGCAGAATGATCACCTCGGGCTATGCGTGAACGACAGTTGCAGAACAATATATAATCAAAAAGACTCTATTATATATATGAGTCTATATACTCAATACAGAGTTCAATCCATGACACCACCCCCACAAAATACAAATAAAAAACACAACATGAACAAAACTTGCGCCTGGTATAAGTTGCCCCCGTTTCCACACGTTTCTCTGTCTTTCCCTGTGCAGTTTTACAAAGTGGCGCCCTGGAAGATGGCCAGATGGTCCTGGCCCCACTCCCCAGAGCCATGGAGCTGATCGTTGTTGATCAAGGACTCCGCCAATCTCAGTGCCGTGCGAAAGGTTTGCCCAGCTGCCCACCTCCCCGACAGCGGCACCGGCGTCAAGACATGGACCTCGATCCTGGGCATGGGAGCATGGGAGCATTGATGCTGCTTGAAAATCTTGAAAAAAACACGCGGAGTTCAAGGGAACATTTGCAGGAAACCATGTTTCTTTAACATATTTGAGGGGGATTGTCCAAAACAGGGGGAAACACAAAATGCTGCAAGTTTGCAATTTTATTGAGAAGATGATGATAATCATGGGATTTGGCGATGCTGCGTGCTGTACTTTCAAACACGCCCAGAGGGGATTCCTGCAAACCTTCCCTTCAACTAGTTCCGGGAGAAATCTATATAACGGGCTGAATAATCAGCCATGGCGCGTGCCGGGGTGTCAACATGTTGATGGCCAGAAGCTGCCTCAATCCACCTTTAGATTATGGACACATACACAGATTGTCAATGATTATCATTTACGCATGGACATTGATATCTTCCACCATTTCGCCTCCTTCCATGTGCCCCAATTCTAGCGCTTTTGGGGGAGTCCATTTTTGATCATTGCCAAGCAAATCCAAGGGAACAGAGTGGTGGTTCGAGTCGTCGTGGAGACATGCCTCACGACAGTGGAGACATGTCTGTAACTCTTGTGATTACTTTTGGGCACTGCATGATGCTTGACATGCGCGCCCCCACGAACTAAATAGGTGAACGCTTTGCAACTGGGATCTATCATCAGTTCAGCTCACTAAAAAACAAAAGAGATAAGCTGTAAGGCACGTAATAAAAACCTGCACTGCTATATATATATATATATATAGAAACTAAATGTTACTAAATATCTTACCAGCTATGTGCCACCTGGAGATCATTCCTGTAGCATCGATGGACCCTCTTCTTCCTGATTCCAGTAGGCACCCAGCTCCAAGGCCAGGCCGCTGCATCACTTTTTCCGCGGCTGTACGGGTGTCCTTGGGAGGTTTAAAACCTGGACCCCAACTGGAAGATGCTATACCTTTCCGGGAATATCCGGGAATTAAATATGGCAAGCATTGGCAAGCTCGGAAATCCCCATACGAAATCGAGGTTTTAACCGTTGAACTATAGAACATGAAATAAATGGAGGATGTTCGAGCGCCAGGTTCGTTACCAAATTGTATGTTTAAAGCACTCTCTGAAGTTGAGATGTTTTGGATCAGTAATTTATCTTCAGCCGTCTGTTTTTATTTCAAACGAATGAGGTTTTTAGTCACCGATACAGTAGTTGGCGTATAAGTGCGATGTGTCGAAGGTTCAGGGTTACGTTTTGCCGGGTTTGAAGGTACATGCAACGGGCAAAGCAAAACAACACGCACACACACACACATATATATATATATATATGAACATGTATATGTATAATATAATATATATATAATATGTAAATATATATATAAGTATATATATATATATGATTATAAATTGTGATACATAAATATGTGACACATCGAAGAAAAAACAGGAAAATACAATATAGCGATATATAGCACGCATGTCACCATAGTTTTGACAATCATACGGTTGGTGCTCGGTAAATTGGTGTATCACTATAGTTTATCACATCTTATCCTTCCGTGCGAGCAAGTGCCCTTGGTAGTTCTGGGGATGACGGTTGATACTTTTGTGGGCAACATATGAAAAAAAAACAAGATGGTTTGATGTTCACAAACAGTTGGACAATGGATCCATGTTTCTCTCTCTCTCTCCATAAGCATCTCCAGGTATATTTGATGATTTTTTGCCATTTACCCACTGGTAAACAAACATAGAATTAGACAATGGCCCATTCATAGATGGTATTAGGATGTATTAGATGATCTACCTCTCAAACTGGTCGATCGTTTTGCAATCTAATACCATCAATGAATGGCAAATCATCTAATAATACATCATCTATGATTTCTCCGCATAGTTTAGCCTAGGCTAAATGTCCCATTTATGGGGATGGAACCTCCCATCATTGCCAGGGCACATCGGCAGCATCGATCAAGGATTTCAGGTTGGCCTCCCCGGGAGTCCTTGGGCGGCGGTGAACCGTTAAAAACCTTGTTGATTGGTTGTGATATGGGACTTATACTACCTCATCTATTGGGGATTATCGAAACATGTCAGGGAAACCTATCAACCAACTAAGATTTTGAGACGGAACAGGGGCATCTTTAAATGGTCATGTAGATTTCATGTTTTTCCGGTGACAAATAGGCCATAAGCATAGGAACTTCATTTTGGTTGCATAGGAACCAACTCCGAAAAACAAATAGAACTCACAGAATCTGCTTGAGGCTAGGCGCCCTCTAAAAGTTTATCGTTAGAGCACTTGAACGTTCATGCCGGCAACATAACCATTTCTGTTGTTTTAACCTGCGATGTACTAAAAATTGTGCTTTCCATAACTATGTGTAAATTGCCAGAAGGTATGTGGCCAGTCGGCACATTTTTTGCTGGTAAAACTATCGCTGTCTGTCTGTAACACCCTGCTGTTTTATGTTTTTAAACCCCCCCAAAAATGCGGGAAACTAACTCTCCAGAATTTTGTTGGTTTCGTACATTAACACTACGCCTTGGTTTGACTTGACCAGCAGCACGTGTTCTTGGATGAGTCTAACATGTACATATAAAATCATAAAAATATATATATGTACATACAGTGCATATATACAACATGTCATGTAACCCATTATTATGGTGAGGTTAACTGGCGAGGTGGCTTGAGAATTATTGCAATTATTGCCGTTATATTGGTTTCAGAAGCTCCTCATTGAATGGGTTATACCAGTAGCACCGCACAAGGCGGTGGCGGAAGTTTCAAAGATAGCACACCTATAGGAGAGGTAGGTTGCTGTGATGCATGGATGGCAGAGTGAACGCACTGATGGATCGAAAGGTGGCCGAGGGTCTGAGTCTCTCATTCTCTTTGTCTCCTGCTTGTCTCTTTCCAACTCTCTCTATCTTTCTCTCTCTGTCTGCTTGTCTCTTTGTCCTTCCATTTCCCTGGTGACCTATATATATATATCCCCTCTGTCTATCTATGTTTCTATCTCTCTATCTAACCAACCATCAATCCATGTATTTTGCTGTCCTGCTATCTATCCATCTACCTATCTACCGATTGATCCCTACCCATTTCTCTGTCTATCTATAAATTTCCAGCTATCTCTATACCTCGTTTTTCTCTGTCTCTCCTATCTCTCTATCTGTCTGTCTGTCCACCTATCCCTCAATGTCTCTCTGCCTATCTCTCTATATAAATCTCTATCTCTGTCTTTATTCATTCATTTGTGTATCTGTCTATCTCTCTTTCTATTTGGCTGTCTACATCTATCTGCTGATCTAGCTATCTGACACTTCCTATCTATCTATCTATCTATCCATCCATCCATCTATCTACATCTATAAATAAATATATATATATATCTGTCTATATATCTATCTATCTATCTATCTATTTATCTATCTATCTATCTATCTATCTGTCCATCTATCTATCTATCTATCTATCTATCTTTAATATATATATTTACATTTTCTATATATATTCTATCTATCTATCTATCTATCTATCTATCTATCTATCTATCTCCGTCCATCTATTTCCATATATATCCTATATCTGTCTGTATCTGTCTAAATCTATCTATATCATCTCTACCTATCTCTATCTATCTCTGCCTATCTCTATCTATCTCTATCTATCACTATCTACCTCTATCTCTCTCTCTCTCTATCTTGTCTGAAACGAAAAAAGTCTGCGAGACTTTCTCAAGTGAAAGTTCTCAGCTCCAAAACGATGAAATTCTGCGAGACTTCCTCCATTTTTGAAACTGACAACATCAAAAACCAAGCAGTACTTCCTTCCAAAAAGGAATGTTGAGTGCAGAACTGACGGCCTCGTGCCAATGCGTTTTGCGATTGTTCCACTCCTTGCGGGTAAAGTACTGCGCCTGCCACGAAAAAGTGAGGCCAAGTCATACGAAGTGCTGCACAAGTCACGCAAAGTCATCTTAGCAAACTCGAAGATCTGATGTTCCAAAATGCAACCCCTCTCAGGACATCAGCGCCCTGACCTCCTAACACATCTGACTCATGTGCCTCTTGCACTGCGCCTGCCACACGACATGCATCTTGGCAGGCCCTCTTCAAACGTCCCACGCCTGCCATCGTTTTTGAAACTGCTGCAAAACCCACACGTTTGATGCGCTATTGGCAGGGTGAAGACTTCATTGCGCAAGCCACAGAAAACGACGCTTGAACGTCCAAAAGTGGTGTGAACATTTGGTGTTTTACCATGTTGACTTGGAAGTGTGCTTCGCGCCACAACAGCGTACACCTTTGCAGTCCGAACATGGTGTTTTTAACATTTTGACTTCAAACTCTCCTTCGCGCCGCAACGGCGTGCACTTTTTGAGCATCTCAACTTCCAAAAGTGTTCCGAACCTGCGCTGTTTTCATCATTTTCACTTTCAAATTTGCTTCGCGCCACAATGGTGCACAATTTTTCATCTCACATCTGCCCAGATGGCTCCGCACCCGCAGCTTTAGCGAGCCTACTTCTCGACCCTGCGGAGCCACAAAACATTGGAAGAACACAATGTCTAACGACTTTTCTACCTTTTCGCGCGCATTGATCTTCTTTCTTCCGACTCTTTCTCTTCTCTGCCTCTGCCCACCTCTGTTGCTTCATCTGTCCATATCTTCTGCAACAAACATGTCCAAAGCCACTTCTGCAACAAACATGTCCAAAGCCACTTCTGACTATGGGCACCACATCCACCACCACAGGTACGACATGAGTTTAGCCAGCTGAAGGCACGTCATATCAAAGAACTCGACCAGCTTTGGCTTCTGTAAAAGCCAGGCAGTTTCCAAAAGTTTCAGCCTCGGAGCCCCAAAGCCCGTACCCCACAAATTGGGCCCACCCAAAAGCAACAGTTGTGCTATTTTGTATGGCTAAAACACGTAAACAAATGAACTTTTGAAAGGATATGATCTTGATGTGTGTTTATGAAAGGATAGGATGTTGATGTGTGTTTATCATTGTTTGTCAATATATCATGACCATATTGATGAACAATGCTGGCGAAACTATCTATTGTAACGTACTGGCCAACTGGACCTCGTTCACGGAAAAAATGTCACCCAATTTTAGATGTTATCTTCTGGTAGACTGTGCCTACTGAGGGGTGAACTTCCCTGATGAAGACACATGATGTTGTGTGCTACAATATTGTATGACATGATTTTACGTTCATTTACAGCTACTCCAAGACAGGTTCTCTGTCTGTTAAAAAACTCTATATACTGATTAATCCCTTCTCCCTAAAATTAAAATTTCCCGAAATAAAAGAAACAACTACCCCATAATAATAAACACATATAAAAACTACCCCTAGGTTTTATTATTTGGGGGGGTGTTTAATATCAGGGTGAATTGATTAAGAAAAGTAGGCGGTTGGGTCAATACATCATGCTGTCCGGGAACAAGTTTGGAGTCCCTCTCTCTCCATCGCCATCTGTCAAGACTGCCGTCGTCAGAGCATGGGTAGCTTGATGGATTGATGCAGGGAACTGAATTTTTTGTCAACTGATGCTCTTGATGTAGTGATTCAATTTGGTTCTGATTTCTGAGGCCTGCTATTAAACTATATTAAACTATGAACATTCATACGCAGCGTGTATGTTTCGAAAAAAAACAGGGCCATTTGGAGACAGGCGGGGCACTTCCAAAAACCAACCTGCCAACCCATAATGTAAGACAGATCCGTCTGCCGGGGTACAACTCGACGCCTTCAACCGAACTGACAATGTCGATGTCATTCCTTCGCGCGACAGGCGTAAAAACCAAAAGAACAATGGTTGGTGGTGGCTCCAACCACTGCAAGATTCTGGGCCTCTGAATCATGATTGATCTAAATTTCGTAACCAGCTGGTTGGAAATCATGTTCACTTGGTTTGGTGTGTGTTCCATGTATGGCTACAAACAACCCACTAACCTATCATACCAAGGTCTACTCAAAAGTTGGGGTAGGACTGGCACTGCCGCAAATCTCAAAAAACACCAAGCACACATCAAACATTTTTGGTATCTATGGTTGCTCCCCGTTTTAATTTCAAGGAATATGCTGTTTACAAGCAAAATGTTTGCAGTGTGGGTTCACTCAATGGTGCAGCCTTGAAGATACGTACCTCTACTGATCAACCAAGCAGTGGACACAGCGCGCCCATCATAATCTCCATGGATCCCTTGTTTGACAGCAAAGGCCCAGGCTTCAAAAAATGCTTACATTGGCCCGCCCCATGAAGTTACAAACGATGGTTCCATCATGTATAGTACCCGGTAGTGCCGGGGAGGAAAGTATCGAAACAAAAGACGGTTATAAGAAATCATTGGCCTATAGGAAAGCTGCTGAGTTGCAGAAGCAATGGAGTGTTGAAGTTGTGAGGCGCATCAGCCAATAAGCAAATGGATGCACATGGTGGCTGAGCTGTTGATGACATGAAAGAGTGCTGCACAACTGATTGGGTGAACCAATGAACCATTGAATCGACGAAGCAATGAAGCAATGAATCATTGAACAATTGAACCAAGGAATCAATGAATCAGTGAATCAACGAAACAACGCACCAATGTTTCAATGAATCATGGAAGCAATGAACCAATCAATGAACCAATGAGTCAGTGAATCAGTGAAACAATGAATGAGTGAGCCTTTGAAGCAACGAATCAATGAATCAATAATTCAAACAACGAGGGAATCAATGAAGAGCAAATCAATGAAACAAAATCAAAAAACGAGGGAACCAATGAAGAGTGAAACAGTGAAACAATGAGTCAATGAATCGATGAGCAAGTGAAACATTGAAGCAATGAAGCAAAGAGTCAATGAAACAGGGAATCGATGGAGCATGAGCCAATGAATCTGAGAATCAATGAAGGAATGAAGCAATGAACGAATCAATGAATCAAGGAACCAATGCATCAATGAATCAGTGAATCAATGAACCAAATAATCAATGAATCAGTGCATCAACGAATGATTGCAGCAACGAAGCAATGAAGCAACAAATCAATGAACACATGAACAGCTGATTCAGTGAATCGATGAATCAATGAACCGATGAATCAATAAACCAAGGAACCAATGAACCAATGAATCATAGAATCCGTAAATCATTGAATTAATGAAACAATGAGTGAAGGAATGAAATGATGGATGAAGGGATGAGTGGGCAACTTCTTGTTAAGCTACTTCTTCACTGGGCGACCTCTTCACTGATGCCCCTCTTCTCTCAGCTACTTCTTTTATCTGGGCTACTTCTTCTCTGAACCGCTTCTGCTCCGAGATACTTCCCTCTCTCAGCTACCTCGTATTTTTGTAGCTTCTGCAACCCATCTTCTGTCCGCGCTGCCAGCGCAGTGCCTTTTGCAACTTCCAGCCAAACGTGGCACTATGCTCAAAAATCATTGGATGAATCGGAACCCAATGTTATACGTATAATTTCGCTGGGACCAACATGACTTGTTAAAAACGTAGGGGCCTACAAAAACATTTGAAAAAAAAACTGCCATGGCCATGGTATAAAAAAAGGTGCCTCTGGAACCTACTAGCCATAGGACTTTTGTACAAAGTGGCACCGACTGCTCTTCTGATTTTTGACGTCACCATAGTCTACTGAAAGCCGACCCAAGAGAGGCATTTTGTAGAGTCAGATTGACTTTCATGATCCTTGCCAAACCCGTGTCCCATTTTTCGTATGTGTATGTTATAGAGGTGCTGTTTCTTTTTTTTCAGAGCAAGGATCTGGGGCGCCATTAGCCTCGCAAACAGTTGCGCGCGATAATTAATTGAAATCACAAATTCTTCTGCACAAGGCGCCTGCCTACAAA